GGGGGGGGGCGAGCGCGTCTCCGTTGCTTCCACTAAGAGGGAATTGCGCCTGGATCGACTGGTCCGCGCCTCCGTTCATTCCACTAAGAGGGGGGACATCGACTCGCCTCGCGCCTCTGCGTCTCCGCGTCTCCGTTCCTTCCGCTAAGAGGGGATCCATCGACTGCTCGCAACAATCAACCTGCTCTTTGTGCCTTCTTGATTTGCTGCTGCTTGTTTTAACTCACTTTTCCCCCCTTGGTCCTTTCTAAAGCAAATAAAGAAACAGCAACAAGATGGTTGATACAAGCGATACTGGAGGAGCAAGCGATACGGCAAGCGATACGAGCCCACAAAAGCTCAGGCTTTTAACGGACAACAAAAGAAGCGCGGTTCTCCAGTTCCTCCTACAAAATCTAAGGAGTAGCAGTGAAGGCAAGCTTCTCAGGAGGGGAGCTGTTAAGGATGCTGCACTACAGTTCAACATGTCAACCAAAACCATCTCAACGGTCTGGAAACGGTACAAGGAAACTTATGATCCAATCAGTTGTCCTGCTGGGAATGTCTCCAGTAGAAGACACTTGATTGGTCGCAGGCCAACTCCCCTATCAGATCTGGATGCACTCCGCACTGTTGCGCACAAAGACCGAGGTGATCGACGCACTCTAGCGTCTGCAACTGGGATTCCTAAGTCAACTTTACATGTCCTTGTGAGACGTGGGAGTATTAAAAAGCACAACGGAAGCACAAAGCCCTTGCTGACACCTGCGAATAAACTTAAGAGAGTCAAATGGATCATGAAACACATTGATCGGAATGGTAAGTTTGACGACTGGTTCAAGTGGATACACATCGATGAGAAATGGTTTTATCTAAAGCGGACAAAGCAGACGACTTATCTGCTACCAGGCGAAGCTGAGCCCAAGTCAACGTCAAAGTCAAAGAACCATATGACGAAGGTGATGTTTTTGTGTGCAACCGCCTGTCCACGTTGGGATACGAACAACCGTGTTTGGTTCGATGGTAAGATTGGTATTTGGCCCTTTGTCGTAAAAGAACCAGCCAAAAGATCGTCTGTGAATCGCCCCAAAGGAACCTTGGTTACCAAGCCACAGAACGTTAATGGAGAGGTGTACAAACGGATGTTGCTCGAGAAGGTACTGCCTGCGATCTACGAGAAGTGGCCGAGGGGATCTACTACTCTGGAGATTTTCATTCAGGAGGATAATGCAAAGCCTCATAAGGCTAGTACTATCAGGGACGAGGTGAAAGCAGCTGCAGCTAGCAAAGGTTGGAACATTACTGTGAAGACTCAACCACCAAAAAGTCCGGACATGAATGTACTTGACCTTGGATTCTTCAATTCAATTCAAAGCTTACAGTATAAGAAGCGCTCGAAGGATATTGATCATTTGATTGCAAATGTGAAGGAAGTGTTTGATGAGTGCTCACGTGAAACATTGAATAATGTGTTTTTGTCCCTCCAGGCTTGTATGGAAGCGTCTCTTGGTGTAGAGGGTGATAACAACTACAAGCTTCCGCATATGGGCAAAGCAAGCCTAATCAATGAGAGAAGGTACCCTTCCAATTTCGATCATTTGCAATGCTGATCGCATCAATATGGGACATGCAGTACTCGCAAAGGCTCAAGCGGAAGCTAACACTGCAGGCGAAAGAGTAGTTCAGTAGTAATATTATTTAGTTGCAATCAATTTAACAGTCAAAATATGTTTCTGGTAGTGATTGGGCAGTATCCTACTGAGTACTTCTACTTAGTTAGGGGACTATCATATCCGGACGGCCGAAAAGGAGTCACGGGACGGTCATTTCCGGACGGAGGAAGTACTTCGTAAAAGCGTAATTTTTGGTTTTAACATCACTCTTTAGGCATTTTGCTGTTGAAGATTAGAACAGCTTCGGGACATCATTGAAAGCATCAGACTTAACGCTATGACCAATTATTATTCCATAGTGTAAAGTTACACGAAGTGTTCCAGTAAAATACGGGACCCCTGCCTCCGAACTCGTACAGACGAAAAATTTGTCACGTGCTCTCACGGAAGAACTGTTTTCATTACTGTAACAATTACTAGTACTTCCAGTACGAGGAAATGGCGTCTTCTATCATCTCCAGACAGGTATTTAGCGTTAGAATTTTTCCAGAGGCCTACCTGGCTGCACGATTGGTTCGCGGTGAAATGTTATTATTTTTGTTACAGTACGGTACAGCTCGTACTTTTCACTGCTCAAGAAGCGAACCTTTCAAGTCTCGACAAACATGCAACAAAATTGCACTCAAGAATGGTCTTACTGTAACAATTTCTGTGCTTATTACTAGTACCAGTATTCGCATAATACGGTAGTCCACATTATTGGTTCTTCAAATAATTGCACCAAGAACAATCGAGACGCAATATCCATCCAAATTAGGAACGATAGCGATAGCGAACGATTATTGATTACTTTTGTGAAATTTTCAGTAGCAAGGCAAAGCAAATAGAAGCATCTGAACAGCATGAATGACGAAGAGTCCTTTGTAGAGCCGAGGGAAACATCGGATGTGTCGGAGGCGAACATCAGAAGCAATGAACCATCATCTTCAGATTCGTCCTCGCTCTCAAAAGAAAACATTACGTACCCTGCMGATTGCTACTCCCTGATGGCACTCCATGGGCCTCTGGACAGAACAGGTTACTTCTATTTCGGATTTCTCGTTTGGTCATTCCAGGTACGAACATAATTAGGCAGATCACAGATATGTCAGATGCCGCGCCACCGTCAGTGCGAAAATGATTGCACATAGCACGCGAGACTCATCACTTCCCTCCTTCCCCCCCTAGGTTTTGTTTCTCATCCTACTCGTGTTGCGTGTATTAAGCCCAACCTTGAGCACAAACGAAAATACGGACAACCCAGATAATGGAATTTTTGCATCTTTCATCCCTTCGAATGTCAACCATCTCACGAGGGCGACTCAATTCATGGCCATACTCTCCTACTGTATATTTGCAGACGAAAGTCTCAAGGATATTGTAACCGCTGTCGAGACATTTCCCAATATAAAGGAAGCTAAAGAGGGGGACAGGGTTGACTTGATGATAGTCTCTTCCGTCTTGCGTTTTTCACAAGGCTTTCTGGCCACTATTGTTGTCCTCCTCTTGGTGGTCAACACCCCGGATGTTGTTGACATTGTTCTGAACTTTACGGCAGTTAATTTTGTTTCTGCCTTTGATGATGTTGCCTTCGAGTTGGCGCAATGGGGAAAGTACGGCCCGCATTTGGAAGCTGAGACCAAACGAATCGAAGAGCTAACCGCCCCAGACTGCATGACTCGCAAATCCAATTATGCTCGATATCAACTAACAATTATCCCCGTTGCCACGACTTTGTTGATTATGCTTATCATGATGGCTTACCGCCAAGATTCTCCAGATCATTGGCTTACCCACCGCCTTCGAGTGCAATTCGAGGATGGCACAAGCATGGAACAATACAGTGGCTGCTATGATTTGGATCCAAGTTCGTCTTCTTCGCGATTTTGGAACAGACGTGTAGCCTACAAAAGTTTTCCGCAAAATCCCAGCACAGCGAGAATGAGTTACTGCATGAAGGAGCGCAGGTGGATCTTATATGGAACCAATACTACAGATGCTTGCTCGGTTAAAATAGAAGACCGACTGGCTTATTCTGATATTACGTATGCTTTTGGTGAGTACCGTGGCAGATGAAAAATCCACAGATTTTATGATTCGTTGGTTGAAAGGAAAAACCTTCAAGAATGCATTTTTGAGTCAATCATCGCAGTGTCTCATGCCCTACTATTTTTTGAAACAGACGTATCATCAGCCTTTGAAGTGTCTTGGTCCTCAAGGTGCGTGAAACAAATGCGAACAAAGTCTTTGTATTACGACATGATTGTGCGCCGAAAACTCTTCATTTATTTATTGCTGAATTGTCTTCTTTTCATTCGTTCTTTTTTTGCAATTCCACATCTATGGCATTTATTCAGCGGTGCGCCTCTAGAGATGTATTTTTTTGAGGACGACACTGTCTTGGATGACGGTAGGTGTGGCTCATTCCTCGGTGATGGAACATGTAACTATGCTTTTAACACGGCAAGATACGACTACGATCACGGCGATTGCTGTTCGGCTACATGCAAAGGTCGAAATTGCGGTTTGACGACGGAAGGATTTTTTGAAACATTTATTGACAGAGGAAACGGGTATCCAACCTGCTATGATCCGGCCATGAAACCCATGACAATCTTATTGAACAAGATTTATACCGTTCCCAATACCGACGCTTCCGGAGGATTTTTGAGTACCGATGACTATCTTGACGAAGAAGATCGAGTGCCCGTACCACCAATAATGATTCTTGATTGCGACGGCAGCAATGTATTGATGACAACCATACATCCCGAGATGGAAAATCAAACGGAAACTGTCCATGTAGCCGACGGAGCATCTTGCATGTTGACAATGAGAAATACAAGCGTTGGCGTGGCCGATACCTTGTTTGTTGACTGGCGAATATACCATGGTTACAAAAACAGTATTTTGACTGATTCCATCATCATCGCCAAAGGTGATAGTTTCGAAAACGAAGTTGCAACTTTCCAACGAATCAAAGATTGCATTCTCACCAATCTGGATGGGCACATCGACAACTCTACGGTGTACGAAGGCAATCATTATTCAAGCAAAGCAGTCAAGTGGCTCAACAGTGATTCCTCGGGATTCTCGAAGTGCGGTGACAAACATTTCATCGAAAGATACGCTCTAGTCGCAATGAACTTTGCAGCGCCTGTCTCTTTTGAAGAATCTAGGGGTGATGGAAGAAATATCGATGCAAGAGTCGTTAACAGCACCACGGATACCGATGCAGGTGACCAAGGATTGTGGATATCAGAAGATAGACACTGCATTTGGAAAGTAGTAGGATGCCGTGATGGACACGTAAGAAGTTTGAATTTTGCAGATAGCAATGAACAAATTTCTGGGTCGATTGCAACGGAGATTGGCCTGCTGCAAGATCTTGGATTTATGGATGCGAGTAAGTTCAACAAAATTTACCAACTCTGCAGCTCTTGATGGAGGTGCTGCGAAACTTTGCTCTACGGTATTTGCGATTGGATTCATATCCAATTAACCTTTTTTGAGGTCGAAGATTCTCACCAGCCAATTTGCTCCAAAAGGCTTTCAGCATCTCTATGGTTCCATTCCATCGGAAATTGGACAAATCGGAGAATTGGAAAGCATAAAACTCGGTAAGTATGGCCCACAATCTGCGGCGAGTAACCACTGCTGATACCGACGAAAGGCATAATTTGATATGCGCAAACTTATCCAGATCGAATGTACTTCGGAAACAATCCTACTCACGGTTTTCCGAAATTTGGATAGACCAAAACTTTCTCACAGGCACCATTCCCACCGAAATAGGGTTGTTGACGAATTTAGAAATGATTTCACTGGGTAAGTGGTTTTCATGACTGAATGAAAATCTTCTAGCTCCGGGGCGTTTTCGTGGATGCGATCAAACCATCATTTTGTCGTTTTCTCACTCCATATTGCCTTTTTTGCGAAGCAAACAACTGGCATCCCGAGAATCCTGGAATCAGCGGTTCATTACCAAGCGAAATCATGGGCCTATCATCCTTGAACGCTATGTTCCTGCGTAAGTGCCTTTCTTTCATGCGAGTGGTTGTGGAGAATTTCGATTGAGAATTATTTGTTCACCAATTATGACCTCCTTTTGTGATTGAAGAGGCGAATGGAATCACCGGTTCGCTACCAGTTGATTTTGGTAGGCTCTCTTCTTTGAAGACATTCGTCGCGGGTAAGTGGTTTTGAACTCGCGATCGCTTCGTAAACAATCAACGCTTCTCTAGGCCTCACTCCGCATCATCCGTTCCATTCMATCACAACAGTTAGAAATCGTCTGACGGGAAGGATTCCATCGTCCTTAGCGCTGATACCAGATTTGGGTACATTTATTGCAGGCAAGTATGGAGTTCGATTCGCTTGATTGTCGTGGAGATAGCAGTTTCGATTGTTCGATGTTTTCACTCACTTTCCATTCGAACGACTTTGTTCAGCCTATAACTTCTTAACGGGCACTATTCCTAGCGAACTAGGTCTCATCAAAACTGGAATAAACAGAACTCTGTTGATAAGTAAGTGCCCTAGTTCTTTCTCCCCAAGATCTGCTGTCCATTCGGTTGGCTTTTGGGTTGGATTTTGGTAGGCTTCGTCGATTGTACTCTAAAGGCTCCCGTTGCGCACGGAAATGTTTTGCTTTGTCGTAGACCTACAGTTCAATACTCTGACCGGAACAGTGCCACTGGAACTGTTGGACAAAAGGTACACGAGACTTGTTGTCGTTGGGAACGAGCTCTCGGATCTCATTCCCGTCGATGGATCGGTAATCTGCAGACAAGAACAGCCGGGGATCGTTCCGGGGCGTGGGGGGGGAGGAGAGCACTATTGCAACTGCCGAGAGAATTGTGTTCCCGAGAGAAGGATTCCTCCGCTGTGTGCTTGCGAAGAAGCGCAGGCTCCGACCTGCTGTGGAGGCCGAGGGTCGCCCTCGCAGCAGGGGAATGGTACCCCGTGCATCCTTTGTCGTTCGGGCATTGCAAATCCAGACCTCTACCTGGGGGAAGAAGATCGGAACTGTGGCGTCAGGGCGTACGATATCAGGAACCTTCCGGAGTATGCAAACGAAGCGAATTGCAGTGCCGTCCGGAGCGAATTGTTCGCCAGGGGCTGCGAGTGCAACACGGAAGGAAAGCGTCCCACGAATCTGCCGGTGTAGTTTCGCGCAAGCGATCGCTCCGAGACCTCGGGGGAAGCGAGCGCAGCTTCTGGTGTGGGGGGAGTGGGTTTCGTCTCGCTCGCTGCCTCGCCCGTTGGTGGCTGCCGCGGTGTCCGTCGCATCCGTTCTGCCCCGGATCCGGCGGTTTTGAAAGGTCCGTTGCGGTTGTCCTCCGTGGTTTCGGTGGGTGGATCCATCCATCCATTCCTTCGCTTGTTTGATGGTTCGTTTTTGTTTTTTTTTGGGGGGGGAGGGAACGGGGAGGTGCGGGCAACACCCCTAGGCATGGTCACCGGACCCCGCCGCGGCGGCGTCGATGACCAAACCAAACCGAAGCGAAGCGAACCGTGTGGCCGTATCTACCCACCCACCTGCCTACCTCCATCCATCCATCCATCCATCCATCCATCCATCCATCCATCCATCCGTGCATCCGTGCATCCGTCCATTTCTTCTACTATCCGTTGGTGCGTGCCGTTCATCGCCGACGACACGGAGGCCCGTGCCGGAACGTTCTTTGGAACGAGCACAAGCACAAGCACAAGCGCAAACGGGCGGTTGGGAGGAGTGAAGTGGGTCCCACCGACGCATCGGCAATGGGACTCGACTCGTGTTGTATACCGTAGGAAAAGTCCTTACTATTCTTTGCAACAACACGAACCATGAATAATGATGCTAACAATGATGCTAACAATGATACTAACAATGAGAACAAGAACACGCCCCGAACTATTTTCTTGCTGCCGTGCCGTAGAACAGATGTTGTGGCGATCGATCGCGTTTTGGACCATCGGCGCTGGATTCTTGTGTGCAAGTCACTGAATCTGATACCCGGTCGTACGGTAACGGGTATGCGGTATGTATGTTGTATGTGCACGGTGCGTAGTACGAGTACGTACCGTCACGGTAGTACGCTTAGATGGGATTCCACCCAAAAAAATCCTGTATGCCACCGAGATCTTGGTGGGATCCTATGTATGCACTGTACCGTAGTACCGTTTGTTCGATGCGATTCGGCAGGATGCTTGTTCCGAACGAATCGCTCTGCTTGCTCGGGTTCCGCAAGAGATGCCATGCCACGGGACGATTCGATGGGAGGCAAACCGGAGGATCGTTCGGATCGATGCGAGTAGAGTACGATACGGGTACGTACTACTCTATCGATGGGAGGCAAACCGGAGGATCGTTCGGATCGATGCGAGTAGAGTACGATACGGGTACGTACTACTCTATCGATGGGCGAAACGGTCGGTGGGATGCACGTCCCGTGCCACTCGGATGCATTCTTTGCGGAACAACACTCCGCGGGATTGGGCGGGACGCCCCCCGGGGTCCCGTGGACACGGTTCGTATGCCCGGTGGTACGGATGCGGGTGAATGCTACCATAGGGGCAAAGCACGGTGGTACTGTATTCTCCGACTCGTATCGTACCACCCACCCACCCGAATGGTATCGGTTTCGGTAGCGCAGGGTAGTACAGGGTGGAATGTCATCCGTCGTCGTTCGGGACACGACACGACACGAAACTAAGCAAAGCGTAACTACAGCACACATCTGCAAGCAATCTATAGTGTCACGAGACGAGACGAGACGGCGAGACGACCACAAGACTACAGCATTCGAATCAATCTTCCCTGGATTCCTGCTGGGGCATCGCGTCTCTAGAGCCGCAAGTACAGTCGTACAACAACAACAATAGTAGGAAGTAACTCGTAGTTTACGTTAACCGCCGTGCTGGTGTGTCGATTGCGACACCAAGACACTCACACTTTGCAAGACACTCCAGTGCAGTCCAGTCCAGTGCAGTCCAGTCCAGTCTAGTCCAGTGCAGTCCACTCCACTCCATTCCAGTGCTACTACTGCTAGTAGACGCGGGCAAAGGGAGGGACCATCTTGCACTCTTCCTCGTCGAGGGTGTACGAGTGGACGGGCCGGTACTCGATTTTGGTTTTCTCCCCGTCAAAGTAGGCCAGGGTGTGCTTCATCCATTGTTCGTCGTCCCGGTCGGGGCAGTCCTCCCGGGCATGGGCCCCCCGGGATTCCTTGCGGTTTTCGGCCCCCGTGATGGTGGTCGAGGCGCAGGCCACGAGGTTCTGTAGCTCGAGCGTCTCGACCAGGTCCGTGTTCCAGACCAGGGACTTGTCGGTGACCTTGACGTCCTCGTTGAACTTTTGCACGACGGCGTCGACCTTGACGACGCCGTCCTTGAGGGACTGCTCGTCCCGATAGACGGCCGCGTGTTCCTGCATGGCCTGCTGGAGCTCGTTGCGGATCTCCGCCGTAGGGAGGCTTCCCTCCTTGTAGCGGAGGGTGTCGAGGTTCTGGAGGGACTCCATGCCCTCGTCTTCCTTCATGGGGGCAATGGCCTCCCCGGGCTTGTGGTCCTCGGCGATCTTGATGGCGCAGGCCCTGCCAAAGACGACAATGTCGAGGAGGGAGTTCGCCCCCAGCCGGTTGGCCCCGTGGACGCTGGCGGAGGCGACCTCCCCGGCGGCAAAGAGTCCCGGGACGGGCTCGTCCTTGACCCAGGCTTCGTCCTTGTCGGAGGTCTTGGAGTAGTCGTGCGTGGTCTTGAGGACCTGGCCGTAGTGGTTGGTGGGGATCCCGCCCATGTTGTAGTGGACGGTGGGCAGGGTGGGAATCGGTTCCTTCGTGACGTCCACCCCGGCAAAGATGGCGGCCGTTTCGGAGATCCCGGGCAGGCGCTCGGCCAGCAGGTCCGCGGGCAGGTGGTCCAGGTGCAGGTAGATCTGTGGGCAAGTGAGCGACAGCGAACCACGCAGTGGCAAACACGGAAACAGAAGAAAACAGAACAGAACAGAACAGAGCAAGCGATTGTGAGAGGCAGGTCTAGAGCAGAGTAGAGTAGAGCAAAGAATGGCCAACAAAATAGCAGGCAGGCAGGCAAGTGCTTCTCAAGACACCAAACAAGGGTGCTTCTCAAGACACCAAACAAGAATGCTTCTCAAGACATCAAACAAGAATGCTTCGCTTCGCTCGGCATTACAATGCTTTGCTTCGCTCAGACATGCTTCGCTTCGCTCAGCAAACTCACGTGGTCCTTCTTGGCACCGACGCCCCGTCCCTCCCGAATCTCCATCGTCATGGCCCGGCTGACCACGTCCCGACTGGCCAGGTCCTTGGCGCTCGGGGCGTACCGCTCCATAAAGCGCTCGCCCTCCGAGTTCCGGAGAATGCCGCCCTCCCCGCGGCATCCCTCCGTCATGAGGCAGCCGGCCCCGTAGATGCCGGTGGGGTGGAACTGGACAAACTCGTTGTCCTGGTTGGGAATGCCCTTGCGCAGGGCCATGGCGTTCCCGTCCCCCGTGCAGGTGTGGGCCGAGGTGCAGGAAAAGTAGGCCCGGCCGTAGCCCCCCGCCGCCAGGACGGTGTTCTTGGCCCGGATGCGGTGGACCGTCCCGTCCTCCATGTTGAGGGCGACGACGCCGACGCACTCGGTCCCGTCCGCGCTCATGAGGAGATCCAGGCAAAAGTACTCGATGAAGTAGGTCGTGTCAAAGGCCAGCGACCGGCCGTAGAGCGTGTGCAGCATCGCGTGGCCCGTCCGATCGGCGGCGGCGCAGCAGCGGTGGGCCTGGCCGCCCTTGCCGTACTCCAGCGACTGGCCCCCAAAGGCCCGCTGGTAGATCTCCCCGTCCTCGGTCCGCGAGAAGGGCATCCCGAAGGACTCCAGCTCCACCACCGCCTGGGGGGCCTCCCGGCACATGTAGTGGATGGCGTCCTGGTCGCCCAGCCAGTCGCTCCCCTTCACCGTGTCGTACATGTGCCACCGCCAGTCGTCCTTCGACATGTTGCCCAGGGCGGCGTTGATCCCCCCCTGGGCGGCCACCGTGTGGGACCGGGTGGGGAAGAGCTTCGTCACGCACGCCGTCTTGAAGCCCGCCTCGGACAGGCCCATGGCGGCACGCAGGCCGGATCCGCCGGCGCCGACCACCACGGCGTCGTACTCGTGGTCCACCACCGTATAGTCGCCCTTTGTGGACGTAGACGTGGACGTGGACAGGCTTCGGGGCGCGGAGCGCACCGAACGCAAGCTTCGGCCCAGGTGTCGGGCGCAAGGGAAGAGCATCGTAGGAGCAGAAGTGCTTCTTCTTCTTCTTCTTCTTATTGCTGTTGCTGCTGTCTTGGATCGATCGATCAACCAATCGATCTCGTATTGCTGTTGGGTGGGTCTCTTCTGCGAGACACCCTTGTCGGTAGATACAATCAGATGCACTCGAGTGCTCTTCTTTCGTCTGATGGGTGTGCGATGCGATGCGATGCGATGCGATGCGATGCGATGCGATGCGGTGGGTTCTGTTCGGCACTCACGGCAAGCAGAATGGAATGGGTCTTCCGGGTGTTCGACTCGAACCAAAACGGTTTTTTAGTACACTTGTAGTTAGTATCGTAGCAGCTACAGCAGTTTTGAGTGCTTCGTCTCGTCACCGCAGTACTCGTACTCGTACGATTTGCCGTAGAATTACGGAGAAGGAACGAGAACCGAGAACCAAGAACGCAATCACAATAATATCCTACGGTACGAACCGTATCTCCCTTCGCACTCGCCGTTGGTGACCGACTGATTCAATCATGCCTTCGCCCAAATCGTTTTTCGGTTTTCTCCGGGCGTGGTTCGTTCATGTAGTACTAGTAGTACGGTGTTTGACGCACTCGCCTCGTACCGTACCGTACGGTACTCGCTCGTTGTACTATGTACTGTACGATACCTGTACGGTGCCTAGTACGAATTGTTTTGGATTGAATGAATKAATCAATCGATTGATTGATTCGTTCGACTTGCTCATACAGTAACGAAAACGAAGAAGATGATTCATTCATTCGTTCAATCGTGTGACGCGTTCCCTTCCTTCCTTCTGCCGCCGTTCGTACTCGTACTCGTACCTACGGTAGCGTATTGTACGAGCAACATCTACTACGGTAGACCAAGTACAATTACTTAGCTGTACCGTACTTCGAAGCAAATGGGAGCGCCTACCATAGCGAACCACGAAGCGAGGAGAAGGAACAGCTGTTCCGAACTGGACTCTCAGAGTACGAGTACGTACGTATCGTACGTACATAGTTCGTCGTAGGTATGGTACCATTGTAGTTGAACCGAGACGGAGGGATGGAGACGGATGGACAGACGGACCGAACGGAGTTGGTCGAGCCGGTCCGGAGAGTCGTGTACCGGACCCTCAAGCAGATTTCGTTCCTCGTACTGGTGCAACGGTATCTTCAGCAACTCCACCAAGCTCTCGAGGTTGTCGGTAGCGTTACAGTAACCTGAACTCTATTTAACGCCGAAGACCAAATAAGAATAGCCCCCAGAAAAGTTGTGCCTGCGAAGCACCAAAACCCCGGAGTACAAGGTACCGTTGCTCGGTACCGTTACTGGAAACCTACTGTACTAAATTTTAATTACTGGAAATCTACCGATCGGATTAAAAACATCTTTCTTTACTGGAAATCTACCGATACACTTTCTTCTTATCTATTTCAACCTTTTTTTAACGTCCATTTTCCGTTCACGAAGCACGCTAGTCTCCCTCACCTCCCTCACTGCCCCCCTCTCCCTCTACTTCAGAACACCTTTTATTTCCAAAGAGGACCTTCCAACCGGAGTTTCCGTTCGACATGTCATTCTTGGTCGGGGGTTAAAAAAAGGTTGAAATAGATAAGAAGAAAGTGTATCGGTAGATTTCCAGTAAAGTAAGATGTTTTTAATCCAATCGGTAGGTTTTGAGTAACTAAGAAAACGAACGGTAGGTTTCCAGTAATGGTTCCACCGTTGCTCATAAGATGCAAAATGTACGTTTGCTCTTTAGTCTCGTATCTACGTGTTTACAATAAAGAGTGAGCTTATTCACTATGTATCCGTGATTTAAGCTTGGTAAATACGTGGCGTGCTTGACACTCTTGACGAGGACATCAAATGACAGCAATTCACCGAAACGTATGCATTTGCCATCTCTTATATTTCATGGCATGTGAACCAACATTCTCATACTGATAGCAAGTCTTTAAGGTTTCTCACGTAGCAGTAACTGATGATCTCATGCTAGTGTATAGTTTCAACACCAATTTCGTTATTTTCCATCACAAATAAATAAAATATCGATCTCTGTTGTCGATCGAGAGTGAAAGAAATTATTTTATCAACACGATCAACACGATAACGAATAATTTGCCATGGAGACCACGAAGTGGCAAAGGATCCGGTTTACCACCGGATATGCTGGTTACCGTATGATCCGACTGGGAGTAGAGTTGTTCCTGGTCCCCTGGTTCAATATACTGGGACTTCCTATCAGCCTCGCCGGGAGCGCATTCCTCGTTTTCTGTATCGCAGACATCCTAGTCGGAATGCTCTTCATGTACAAACCAAAATTCTGCTTTGGCACATACATGCGCGCATGGACGGTCTTTCTCTCAACGGCCTGCCTCAACTCTTTAGGGTTTGCGGCTCTCCTCAACGTCACTTCTGTGTGGGCGATCTACATATCCGCGTTTATCACTGGCGCCAGCACGGGATGTTGGCTCACAATGGTCGAGACTGCAACGCCAGTCTCGTTTGGAGCAAATGAGTTGGGAGAGGTATCCCAGTTTATACAAGTTTTTCAGTCGGTTGGATTTCTTCTGCCATCTATTGCCCTCGCTGTGCTTGCCAATGTTGACTTATCCTATGCCCAAGGTGTCAACGACACAAATGCTGACGAAGTTGCCATTCGCGCGACTGCTGTCGTTCTTGCTATTGTCGCTCTTTTCTTTCAAGCAGTAAGTGCCGATCAAGTTGTTCGTGCGGTGGCAACGTCGCCTGCAGGTGAAAATACTGCTGATACAAATAGCATGATCTGGGATTCATTGAAGCAATTTTTCACAACCTCCATCGTAGCCTACTTCTTCTTTGACTCTATGATCCTTGCAACGTCGAACATCTCAATGGCACTCATGTCCATTATTACCACTGAGTATTTCGGTTTGAGCAACGCCAACACTTTGTGGATTGGGGCTTTGGGATTCCCGGTTGGGGCGATGGTAGCGATCTTTTTTCAGATGCGTTTTCATAGCAAAAAAAACAAAAAAAAGCTCGCTATGGATGGGACTATAGGAATGATTCTTTATTCAATGCTTCTTATTGCTATAAGTCCCCTTTTCCCGCCTTCTAAGGAATCAGATTCAATGGCCTTCCTTTTCCTCTTTGGTTTTGGTGGCGGCTATTTCTTCAGTGGAACATACGCATCTGCCTTGACGCTCTGGTTTACAAAGCTGTCAACCTACTCGCTATCATTTAACTCACAAGCCGCTGCGATTCGCAATATAGGAGTCCGGGCAATGCTCGCGGTTGTTTTCCAGTTGCAGATGTTTATTATTGAATTCGCCATGGGAGATGAAGTGTCAACATCGCTTGACGCCAGCCTGGTCTGCTTCCTCCCGCTTGTTATGTTTCTCCTAATCGCCTTGGCTGTAACTTCCAAATTTATTCCATACCCAAAGGATGAAGTATTCGGTTGGCCAGGCATGGTATTTTTCAAACCTTACGCCAGATTCATCATGTCGGTTGTTGATAGCCTTGGATTACTCGACATGGGTGATATGGCGTTTGCAAAATTTCAAAAAGCACGTTGCGCTTTCTTTTCGCCACATCTCAAAAAATCAAGAGTCGATAGAGGACCGAGTGTAGAAACCGGCGTTACTCTGAACCCTATGAATTTCAAAAAGTTCCTGGAGGACTTCAATGAGCTAAAAACTAGCGAGCAGTGGTGGTTTTCGGAAGCCAACTTGGACTGTCTTCTTCCGGATCCCTACGTGGCTTTAGAGACAAGGCTGAAGATACTTTCCGATGCCCGCGAAAGCATTCGCTTCATTACATGGACATTTGCCACGTCAAATTCTGGGAACCAGATTGCGGATGTGCTAATTCAAAAGTCGTCGGAAGGAATCGATGTGAAATTAATTGTGGACGCGGTCACATTGTACTATCTTGATCAGGAAAGCAAGTTGGACATCGAAGGATTACCAAAGAAATTGGAGGTCTTACAAAGACTTCTCCGCGGCGGAGTCCGTGTTAAAATGCTGAACAAATGGCACAAGAACGAATGGTCGGAATACGTCATCGGAACGCATCGTAAATTTATGCTCGTAGATGGGAAATGGTTGCTAACCGGCGGGAGAAATGTTGAAGATGAGTATTTTTCTACCGAGGGGCATCACTTTATGGACAGCGAACTTGTTTTGAACGGAAATTTTTACGAAACAACGGCAGCTTTTTTCGACAAATCGCTTTGGGATTCTGCCATGGATGTTGCCCCTCTCTTTCCAAACCTTCTTCTTGCCTTGGAAGAAAAAATGGATAACGATGGTAGCAGAAAACCAAGAAGTTCCATCTTTCGCAGTGCCTCGATCAAAATTCAAGAAAATTGCAATGTTTCACTGTTTCAGCTTGATCACAAGAGTGGTGACCCCAGAGGCCGTGACATTATTTTCTCGTCACTCTTATTCATGATCGAAACAGCCAAGGAGAGAATTGACCTTATTTTTGGTTATCTTCAGCTTTTCGACGAGTTAGATGCTGCACTGACTAGGGCTGCTAGTCGAGGAATCAAAATCCGTGTTGTTACAAACTCAGCTGAGAGTAATGATGTGCCCTACATGAACGGTCTATTCGGTCCTGCCTTAGAACGACTGCTTGAGCTCGGTGCGGAGATTTACGTGTGTGACAAGGGAGAAAACAACTTAACTCTCCATCAGAAAGTCGCAATCGCAGACGGGAGGGCGGCCCTCATTGGCAGCTGGAATTGTTTAGGAACTTCGGTGTTTTATGATAGCGATTATAGCGTTATGCTTTTTGACGAGAACGTTACGGCATTTGAGTCCATTTGGCAGGAGGTAGAAGAAATGATCAAGTCCGGTCGCTTGAATCGTGTTGCAAAAGTAAGCGGCTATGATGTTCATTTCTTCTACAGATTGTTCGGACCCCAAAGTATCATGAAGCGCGGGTTTTAACTGATGGCCGCACTGCAAAAGAAAAAGACAATTCCTAATGCCACCATGGTTGCCGATGAAGGTTTTTTTGTTATTGTGGATACAAGTGAGGAATCTCCCTACTCTAGAGTGTTCCTGGAGGTACTCTGATAAAACTCAAATGTAGAAGCTGAAGGAAGAATCTAAAAATAAAAAATGAGAACTTAAAAAATGGTTGAGATTTTTCTTTTTTTCTGCCAAGGATGGAATACGAGTTTTGCAAAAACTGCTCCAAAAAGTGATCGCATTGCGCACACCTCCTAAATTTATGACCCCTCGCCTCGGTTCGTACGGTACTGTATTATGATATCTCACAGAAGCCTTTGTAGATCCCACAGCTAAATGCCTGTCACGCGATAGAGCCACAAACTCGTACTACGAAGTACTTCAAGTACATGTGTTGAGGCGAACCCGAAGACGGAAGGACGGATGGACCGAATGGATTTAGTCGAGCCGGTCCTATTCGGTCTACCGTACTCGTACCATTGCTTCCGGGCCGTTAGTATTGGTTTCCCTTGGCGACGCGAGCGGTTCCGCTGGCAGACACGATCCCGCAACATCGGTGATCGTCGGGCCGTAGTTTTCGAAAAGCTGATGGAACCTTCGGATGGCATCGCAAATCATGGGCCATAGTAGGAGGGTTTCCTATAGAACCACAGACGATTCGGGTGGTATGTGTTGAAGATTTTCGTTGAACGATAGAAATTTCCAATGGTATGGGAAATCGGGCAATGACGGGACCATTGTCTCAATAGAATTACAGAAAATTACAGTCGTTAGAGTCGATCGTTATAGTGTCAAGATAGATATATCTGTTGTTTTCGGTGTACTGACAAAATTTTTTGGTAGTCTAGATAATACTAGGTAGTACGAAGATAATTTCACTAGGATGCCAGAAGCTTCTAATGGTTTGAAACAAAAAATCTGGTGGATCGACAGAATATTCTGGTAGATTGGATATTTGTCGGTAGAACAACAGAAGCTTCGAGTGGTTTCTGACAAACTTTCCGGTGGACMGACAATATTCTGGCAGCACGCAAAAATACCGGTAGAACGGCGGTCCTTCGGATGGTATGATACAAACGTTTTGGTGGACCAAGAGCGTTTTCGGATGGTACGAAAAATCATCGATGGAACCACGGAAGCTTCGGATGGTATGCGTCGAATCTTTTGGTAGAACCATGGAATGGCACGAACCGAACACCGGTGTCGCGACAGAAATTTCAAATGGGACGCGTCGGTGTGTTTGGAACTTGCACCGTACGCATCGGTGGCACGACCATTTCCTCACTCGAACGGCAGTCCCTTTGGGCAGAACAACCATTGTTTCCTCGGTAAAGCAGAACGTGGCAAGAAAGCCTTCCGTTGTGGCATGGCCCAATATTACAGCGTACCCCTGCTCCTACACTACCAACGAGATGATCATCACCTACCATCAGTGGCAACGAGAGAAAATGCCCTCGCCCAGTGAGGGCAAACCAAAGAACAAAAAGCACCCGGAAAGCGCAACCACCACAAAACCTCGATGGTTCGATTCATTTCGGTTCGGTTCCTTTCGTGACACCCGGTATGCCTGGCAAACCGCGGCACAAAGAACAGTGTCTATGGATCCAGCACGGCTCGGGTCCTCGGGTTCTTCTCTGCTGCGATTGGTTCGAAGAAAGAAAGCACAAAGGGACCAGCAAACACAAAGCAAGGCTTCCCAGAGAAGGCGCACCGACCAAAAGCAAGCAAGCAGGCAGGCAACCGTTGCCGCTACCACCAGCAACAGCAGACAGGCTGCTGCGACAGGTCTTGGAGGACACCCAAACAGAATTCCGGCAGCCGCTGGGAACTACTGGCCGGCTGGGATTGGCAGAGGCGCAAACCACGCATGGCCGGGCGGAAGGCAGGCCCTCTTGGCTCTGCTCTCTGGAGAACAAGGAATCCGAACCGGGAGCAGGTCAAGCCAAGCCAACCCATTGAACACCACAAAGTGTCCGATCCCACCTTCCGACAATCAACCACGCAACACGTGCGTTATGCGATCAGAGGGCAGGGCCGGGCGCGAGAAACATCAATGGCAACCCGATGCTTCGTGGTGTTTGCAACGCCGTGCGTTTGTGTATTTGCACCTAAACATCGTGGGTCTTGTGTTGCAACACGGTTGTCGGTCGAATGCAAAACCGCCCAATCCCTACAGCAATTCGCATAGAGAGAGAGAGAGAGAGAGAGAGTAGGAGAGACTCCACGGAGTTTCCGTGGGATGCGATCCCACCAATCGATTTCTCGCGGTTTCGTTTTTCTTGCGTTTTTGGCCAACTCGCGGACCCGTGCAATCGAAACACCCGGTGAATGGTAATGCGGCGAGACCACCGTGGTTCCTGGAAAGCGATTCGATCTGCCAACCAATCCACACAATCTTCCTGTCAGAGATTCTCTTTCTTCTTTTTCGGTTTGCCCTTCTTCTTTTTCTTCTTCTTTTTTTTCTTCTTGTCCTTCCAGGGATCCGTGCACTCGAAGAATTCTCGGTGTGGGGCGGCCCGGAAGGGTTCCTCCAGCTTCCGCCGGAACTCCACGATCTCCCGGACCAGGGCCGTGCTCGTCCGGACCAGGCCGAAGGGCCGGTGGAACATGTGGAAGGCGATCATGCCGTCCCGGGCGGAGACCGCCAGCGCCACGTCCTCCCAGTAGCCCCTCCCGGCCCTCGGGCCGTGTTCCGACCGAAAGCTGGGGCTCCTGGAGGCGTCGCGGTTGTCGTTTTCCTTCTTTCTCCGGCGCTTCTTCCCCAGGCGCCGGGACTCTGTGGGGACCCCTCCACCGAGTGTCCCCGTGCGGTTCGCGGCGGAAGGATCCTCGCCGGTGGACGAAAACGCACCGGTTCCGCTCCGGCTCGGCCGGTGAGGCGCGTGTTCTCCGGGAAGGGGCACCACCGCCTGGCTCCTCGAGGAGCTGGTGCATCGGGTGGTGTTTCGGACCTCCGCGTGCAGCAGTGCCACGGAAGCGGGCCGGTCGGACATGACGTAGACGTGGCAGCGGACTGGTTCGGGCCGCTCGTCTCCCCCGCCACCCGTCCCCGGAAACCTCTTCTCGAGGCACAGGTGATCGGGCCACGTGTAGTCGTCCGCAAAGTGACCGGGGTGCCGCGAGTGGAGAAAGATGGTCTCGACGTTCTCGTCGCCGCGGTCCCCGTCTGTGTCGCCGCCAGTGGCCCACACAGGGTGCGTGTGCAAGAGGCTCTGGGGGGGATCGAGGCCCGGGTCCATGGTAAAGACCGACTCGAAGAGCATTCCGTACAAAAAGTAGATCCCCTCCGACCGCAATGCTTCGAGGCGCTCCAGGTTGGACGGGCGGACCAGGTGCGAGGTTTTGTTGGCGGGGTTTGCCGTCAGGATCTTGCCCGGATTCAGGCCGACCTGCTTTCCGGTCCGGATCAGGCGAAGAGAGTCGTTGTCCCGAAAGACGTCTTCGCCGCTTCTCTCGTGGTGGTTGTCGGGGCCGACGCGATTGCTGCCGGAAGAGTCGTCGCTTGTGCTGCCATTGGCATTGCTGGTCTTGTCGTTGTCGTTGGAGCTGCTCGTGCTGTTGCCACCGAAACCGTCTCTTTCGCCGGAGCCTGCCTTCTTCTTCCCGGGGTGGTGAACACCATCGTATGGCAGCGCCGTGGCATCGGAGGGCTTCGAATCGAGGATTTCGGCCCTGACCAGATCGCTGTGGTCGTCCGCGAACCCGAGTTTCTCCCTCCACTCTTCGTAGGAGGGAATCCACGGATTCCGTTCCAGCATGCCCTCGCAATCCTCGGGACCGTGGATCAGGTCCGGGTTGTATTCGAGGGCGCAGTCGGACTCCCCGTATTCCTCGCACACGGTTTCGTTGTGGTACCTCCACAGAAAGGTGCGGTTTGTCAGGATGGCCCACAGCAGGCCGTTCGCGAAACGGTGCAACCGGTTCCCCGATTCGAGGGGACAAGAATAGGTAGCGACGAGGTACCTCCTGTGGCGGAGACTTCCGGCGGAACCCTCATCGAGCCCGCAAGGAAGCGGGGGAGAAAACGTGGAATTCCCGTTCGGAGCGGGTTGGTCCCTTGCTGGTTGCTTCTGCTGCTCCTCCTTCTGTTGTCGCCGAGCAAAACAAGCCTCGTTCCACTCGAGTTCCAGTCGCTGGTGGGAGTGTTGGGAGATGTACCGAGTCATCACGTCCATGGGTGGGAGAAGCGCGCGCTGGGTTCCGTTCCCGGCGGCGTGTGGCATCCATTCCTTATAAAACCAATTTCGTTCAAAGAGATCCTCTCGGGTCAGATTCATGGACGACAAAAAGGAGAACGCATCGAAAGACGTCGATCTCGGTGAAAGGCTTTTTGCTGGTGGTAGTGGTGTTTGCCCAGGAGATTCGTTTTGTTCTGTTTCCGCGGTCCTCGTACTAGGGCTTCGATTCGTTGGTTCTTCGTCCTGCTTTGCGGTTTTGGCGGGGCCCGATCGAATGGCAGCGGCGGTACTGGCACGATTCTCTGTTTCGTGCTGGTTCGTTTCGTTCGCGTTCCCACCAAACACCGCAGCCTTGCTCGCGGTTCTCGCACCGTTGTTGGGTCTCGATTCGCCCGTGCCGCCCGGCATACTTGCCGTAGCGGCTGCCTGGTTCGGCGCATCGCTTCGGGGGACGACCGAGTGCGTGTGCACGGTGGAGCCTTCCCAAGGGTTGCCGGCCGCCAGCGGACGAATTAAGTGGGTGGCGGTCAGTCCGCAGACGAAGGCCAGGGAAGCAAGCCGCACCGGTTTCGCTTTCGTCGAAAGGGCAACGGCACCAAAGCCACACACCACCACGATCGGAAGGAAATCCGGCATGTTTTCCGGCGTTGTGCTGTTTTTTTGGTTGTTGGTACTGCGTGTTGTATCTCTTGGAATGCGGTTCGATGCGAATCCAAAAATCGGTGTGTGCGAGTATTGTATTGCTGTATTACCAATCCTTTTCGACTACTTTCTGTTTCCACCGTAGAATCTGTAGATGACGGGATGCTTTCATTTGCTCGCCTCCGCGGGGTTGGAAGAGAAGGAGTGAATACGAATGACTACGACACAGCATAGAAAGTCGCATCTTGCCAGGCCCTACTAGTAATGCAAAGATAGTGGGGGTATGATGATCCATAGTATGATGTAGTTAGTACTTCTAAGAGAGACAGAGAATTGGAAGATGCTTAAACGTAGCGCATCCCATCACAGTTTTAAAGTGCCTTACGCTTTTTTGAATTTTGCAAAAACCAACAGTTAAAAACAAAAAAATACATCAACGATCTCAGTCAGAGTCACAGTTTAGTCGACGGGAATTAGAACAGGGTCCCAGTATGTACGTACGTAGCTACAGTACATCATCACAGTATTAGCAGTACAGAATTGTTTTGGCATATTTTTTCCTCTTTCTGTAATACGGAAAATGGCCCGCTAACGCAAATACTTCCTGAAGTGCAAAAACAAGAAGTTATTGCAAGTAAGGTTGAGGTTATGCTCTGGAAAGAATGTAGTACTAGTAGTAGTACTTCAGTGTGTATGGAGACAACAACTAGAAGTAGTACTAGCTAGTAGTACAAACTTCCACATGTGGCGAAGAAAGCCCTCCTCCTGAGAGACGGTAACCTTCCAAGAACTTCAATCATTTGCAATAAGGAGGAATGTTGTTTCAATGATTCGTCAGAGCTTGAGTTTCTACTCGTACAAGCTGAAGCAGAAGAGTACTAGTTCAGTGGTGGTACTATTAGTATGTACTACTACTACTAGTACTACTAGTTACAACAAGTTAGTAAGTTGAAACATGTTTCTTGTACTGACAGTACGGTTACAGCATCCAACTAGGTACGAGTTACAAGTACCAAGTACTCAGTTGGGGGACTATCATAACTGCTGGACAGCAGAAAAGGAGTCATGGGACGGTCATTGTTGGACAGAGGAAGTAGAAGGTTTTCAACGAAAGCTACTACACAAATCAACACTAAAAAAAGTTTCTTCTTGTTTCCTTCGCAAGTCCAGGGCTGTAAGAATTCTTCAAGGTTACTGGCTACCGTGCACGAAAGATAGTGCTAGTCCAGTGCACCGTAAGCAATTTTAGGTAAGGATATCGTAGAACATGTTTGAAATACCGCATTATCTCTATCGAATCGCAAGGACACGTATCAGTACCAACCGTTGACTAAGCTGTGGTCTTCGGCTGCCTGGTGGTATGGTTTCATTTGCTTGTTGGCGGGAAGATTGTCCTCGAGTTCCTGCGATCCTCGCTTGCCCCTGTTGGCTTCTCGAAGCAAACCCCAGCTGCTGCTTCTTTCTCCCGGCATTGCGGTCCAATAATTCACCGCGCGATCGACTTTTCTCTGAATCTGTGTCTCGTTGCTCAGAACGTACCACCACGACTGTTTCTCGTTCCAAATCAAGGCTCGCAGGTTTCCCTGCCGGAACTCGTCCATAACGTGTGCGGCCACCCGCCGCTTGATCCCCGACCCGCCTCCGCTTTCGACGGCTCCGTACGGCATGCTTTGGAAGCCTTGGTCACCGCCGAGAACCGCACGGGAACGCTCGATTTCGTACCGGTCCTGGATCATGCTTCGAAAGCTCTCGTTTCCGGGATTGTAGAAAGCGGACGCCCCCTTCTTGAATAGAACATCCTTCAAGCCAGGGGCCTCGATCGGCGCGGACGGATAATCAACGCCGACTCTTTTGACGGATCCATCCGTGTAAATGGATGAACTCTCGAGGTACTGTCGAATGGTTAACCACTGCCTAACGTATTGTAGCTGTTGGAGAGAATGAAGAACGGCACCAAGAAGGAATACATCGGAGAGGATTTCGATTCAAAAAAGGTGATTAGGCTGCTTCAAAGGGAATCAGAAGACGGTTCGAATCAACACAATGAGAAGAATCCCGCGACGCAATCCTTATGATGTCCAAAACAACATACCTTGGCCTTCCCGGTGCAGCTTTTGGGAATCGCATCGGCGGCAATTCCGAATCCCTGAAGATAATATCTAAGCTCGGCTTGATCGCCTGAACCAGAAAGATCAATCCATTGTTATCATGGAACGCGTATGAGCAATGAGGTGAGGTGGCGACAACAAAACTCTTCGCACTCTTGGAGCTAACGGTACGCATACATTCTTACAATATCATCGTTCGTGTTCGTGTTTTTTGTACTCACCCAAGTGAATCCTTGCCCACAACCGTTGCCTGCCAAGTCCTAGGAGCACGATCGATCGAAGCACTCGGAATCTGGGCGTGTTCGGAGTACAAATGTGAAGGGCACTACACCGCACAAAAAAAACCGAGCTTGCCTTTAATCCCCTCTGGTGCTTCGATACACCAGGATGCCTCCCACCGGGCCACTCGGGCATCCGGTCTGTCCACAACAAAATAACGATACCATTGCGTTGGCTTTCGACGTCCTCTGAAAGGACATACGAAAGGTACAAGGCTATTTTGACCCGCAGAATCCGCATCTTGCTCCAATTCTTGTTTGTGTCCGCGTCGAGGGAAACGTTCGGAGAGAAAAAGACTATCCTGCGACCAGCCCGGTCTCTGTGCGGCAGAATCTGCACCGAGCCGTCACGGAACGCTTTGAGTTCCGTAAAAGTGAAATCCAACAGCTTGATGGGTCGCTCCAGTGCATAGGGGCCAAACATGTGCAACAGGCACTCCAGGGACTTGGTCATCCGCAGCGCCGCCCTGTGGACATCGAAGAGCTCGGCCCGAAGAAATCTCAGCCGAAACTCCGGATCCCCAACGTATTTCCTGGATGCGTCGGATTGCTTTTGCGCCGTCAGGTAGGCCTGCTTTTTCGAATTCGGAAGGACCTTCTCGAGTTCGATCGCAAGCCTCCGCAGAGAGTCTTCCACCAGGGAGGGTGTTTCCTCGGGCGCCAGGCTCCGGACGCCGTGGATTTCCTCCTCCAATGCGGTGCGTTTGTTCCTCGAAAGGCGCATCAGTTCCTTCGACATTATGCCTCGGCACGCCGACACGGAATCCGCGGAAGTCATGGCGGCGAGACCGCTGTCCATCTCGTCGGCGGAATCCGAATCTTGTAAGTTCGTTGGCATCACAGAGAGGCGATCCTTGTTCCGCCCCGTTGGGTTGGCTGTTAACACGGTAACGGTTTCGTCTTGTAGTTTTTGCTGTACAGACCGATGGCCGGTGAACATTTCGCAAGCAGGGAATTGGAGTTTTTTCATCTCTCGGTGTCGGCTGGTGTTGTTTGCGTCGATTTCGTGCCTGCTTCTTTTTTTGCCCACAATGAATGTGTTCTTTATCGAAGACGCAAGATGTGAGATGATCTGCAGTTTTTATGAAACGAATGCATACGGTTTATCTTCTACTCTTCTTGGAAAATTCGTGCTATGTAATCTAACGCTTAGAGATATTTTGCATCAATAAGTAAGTTTTACTGTGGAGAGAAAGTAGTACCTCGTATTTTGTATTTGTACTTTGTAAACGTGCCAATTAAAATAGACGGGAAGGAGATGACGATGATGATATTATTTCAGAATATCGTGACAAACAAGAAGAAACCAAGAATGCAACTAGGGGCAAGAAGAATGAGACCAAACACAACGCTACTTCAGCAGAGACTCTTAAACAAACGAATCATTACCAAAAAATTACATAAAGACTCCAAATAGTTTTTAGAGTTGTTCTTGACGTGATTAACTATCTCTGGTTGAGTTCTAGATTTACCAAGTACAATTCCCGTGCTGGCAAGTTATTGGCATTCCCCTTAAAACAAATAACGATAGAAATCTTCTGCTCATGTTTACATTATAAAACCAGTTTGAAAAGGCATCCATCCTGATAACAAACATGATTTTGTATCGGCAGTAGTCAAAACCATACGTAAAAATTCGACAGGCAGCAGGTTCCCTGAATTGTATTAGTACTTCGTACTTGGTAGCTCTATTGAGTTCAACGCGAAGAAAAAAAATACAACAATGCGAAAGCAACGTGATGTATGATACCAGTACCTGTACTTGGATCGCAAAATGCAAGTGAAATTGCATTCTCATCTTAGGGGAATCGTGATTCGGTCATTCAGTCATATTAAAAACTAGCTCAGTAGAACCTAGTACATGATGTAGGAGCAAAAGTTCATAACTTCAAATTGAAGTTTAGAACTTCAAATTATTACTTCTTGCTCTCTGGGCAAGACCGTGTGCAATTGTTATGAAACTCGTAGTATTGCCTCGAACGCGACGAAAATTCCTACAACCATGTACAATCTATTTTTTTAGTATCCCTTAAGAGTGACTACGACAATCATAATAAGTGATCCCCACACCAAGAAAGTTGGTCTCATCGCATCGTTACTTAATCTTAGTTCTTCAGTAAGAATAAAAATTCTACAGAGTTGTTCTGAATGTTGGTCCCAAGAATTTTCAGCATGAGTCGCCTTCTGAGAAAGAAGCACGATTGGTTGGTCCTGCCCCACCAGAATAGTTGCAAATTACCTATGTAGATTTTGTCCTATGTTCTACTGTGCTACGGATGGCATAATTAAATCTAGGATGGGAACCAATTTCTTGGTGTGCCATTGACTGTACGGTGTTTGGGACTTGATCCTTTGATGGGATATCCTTATCTTTAGATACAGTATTCGTTGTTTGAATGCCTTCCGTCTTTGTATTGCCACAAGCTTTGTACACTTAAGGATCCCACAATTCTGCTTGGTATACTTAAGGATCCCACAATACTGTATTCTTCAACAAGTCCATGCCAATAAGGCAATAATAAATCAGAACTCAAGCATTCCGTTTTCGATATTTCGGGTCCTTCCAGAGTATTCCTCCCCCCAATCGAACACCCCAACATGATGTTCGCGGTTTGCTTCCGAATCTACCGTCCCGTGCGGTACATACCATACGATACTGTACTTCCAGTGCTCGTACTTTTACTCGTACTCGAATGCCACAGGTGTTCATTTCGCGCGATCGCGCGATCCTGCGATCTTGATGGGTTTTGTTTTGGTCGTCTCCCATTCGATTCCAAATTGAAATCCAAATTGAAATCCAATTGAGATCTTGTAGATCGACCCCCGAACACCTGTGATACGCTACGGTACTGTACGAGTTGCAGTACCCTACGATACGAGAAGGCACGCAAGAAAGCATTCCTAGAACAGGACTCCCGAGCCAACTCGAGTTCGAGTTCGAGTTGGAGTTCGAGGCTGTTGATACTGTTTGTTGGTGCCAACAAATTCCACAGGAACCGAACCGAACCGAACCGAACCCATCCGGTCAAAATCACTTGCCGGTGGTAAGTGCTACCGAACCGAATCGTACCTACCCTACCCTATCCTACCCTACCCTGCCCTACCTGGCAACCAACCATGTCCGCCGGCTGGTGGTCCCTGCCCCAAAACCCGGCTCCGTGGACGACGGCTTTGGGCGTGCTAGCGGCAGCGCTGTGGTACAGCGGCGTCTTTCGTTCCGTTTCCTTTCGGAGGGCGACCCTCGGCCCCTGCGTCTTTTTCTATCGCACCGGAAGAGGGCCCTACAGCGGCGTCGGGCCAATGTTCGCGGAGGTGGAGGCCCTGTGGAAGCAATGGGAAGGCCGGGCCGGGTTCGGCGGCGAACAAGACCACGAACAAGACCACGAACACCACGTTCCCGCGGGCATCTACTACGACGATCCCAAAACCAGCCCCCCGAGCGACCTTCGCTACGCCGTGGGATTCTTGTGGACGGGGGGGACCCGCCGGGCAAGCGCCATCCGGGAGGAACTCGGGCGAAGCGAGGAATCTTCGTCTTCTGTTTCGAACAAAAACCACAAAACGCCCTGGAACCGCTTGGACATTCCGGCGACGCCCACCGTTGCGGCGGCCTTTCCCAACCGGTTGGGCGTTGGTTCGGTGGTTCTTTCGGCAATCAAAACCTACGCGGCCTTTGAGCGACAAAAGGAGTTTTCCCTGGAGAGCGGGGCGGTGGAGGTCTATTGGCCCGACCGAATCGTCACGCATTTTCCACAAGGGAACCACGACCTGTTCTGCCCCAGGGACGAACCACAAGCAGCAACAGCGGGCAAAGCAAACTAAAACCATCTTCTTGATGCAGTTCTTCTTTCCAAGAATACGAACAATTTCGGTTGCAGAGACAAGAGCGACACAAGAGGTGCTTTGGAGCGGGGCGGTTTTCCGAGATTCACCGGGAGCGGGTTGTACGGTGCGGTACAGCACAGTACTTTGCTTGGAATCCGCAAAAGAAAGGAGCATTGTCCCCTAGCTAGCTACTTGTAGTAGTACGCACGAGTTCTTTTTTTCTCTCGTTTCCTTAGTAGTATCGTACGCACGAGTAGTTCGTTTCGCTCGTGTCAAACCGTGTTCGTTCGTGTTCGAACACCGCAACGCCGGCTTGCCGCGCGATTTCGGTTTCAGAGACAAGAGCGACACAAGAAGTGCTTTCGGAACGAGGCGGTGTTCGAAGCGGACCGGGAGCGGGTTGTATAGGACAGTATAGTAGAGTACAGCACAGCACAGCACAGGACAGCACCGAACTCGGAATCGGCGAGAAAGAACCATGGTTCTCCGGCCGAATGTACTAACTAGTGCGCACAGTTGTTGTGAGTTCCTTTCTCTCGTGTCGTGCTATATTCGTTCGTGTTCGAACCCCGCAACGCCGGCGTTTGGTTTGCGTGCCTTCGTCCGTTCTCGGATTGGTCCTTTCGTTCGGAACGACCGCCGCACACCGACACCCAACCCCGCATCGATTCGATTCGATTCGATGGGACCCGACCAGAAAGAACACGAGGATTTTGTTGCTACAGTCGGTTTATCGATTCTATTTCACGGGCACATGCAGGCAGGCAGGCATGCGTGCGAGCGTGCGTGCCTTCGTGCCCGCCTGTCTCTGGTTCCTGTCCCATTCGTTACGGATCCAGCGCAGCAGCCGGGGTTGTGAGTCGGACCAGTTCCTTGGGCGGGAGAAAGACTGGTTGCCACGGAACCCTATGGCGGTAGTTCTCGATCGGCGATGGCAGGGGTTTTTCGCAAGGCCGTCCCTCGCTCGAAGGAGCCGACCTCCGGCGGCGCAGGGACGCCCAAAACCCCCGGCTCGGTTCGGGGCCCGGCGGTGCTTGTTCTTGTTGGTGTTGGTGTTCCTCCTGCTGCCGCTTTTCTTCCATGGCGTGCATCTGTAATATTCGCTGCCGCTCCCGCTCCTCCCGCTCGCAGAGTCTCCTCTCCTCCTCTTCTCGCTTCTTTTGCCGCTCGAGTTGCTCCCGCTCCTCCTTCAAACCACGCTCGAGCTCGAGCCAGAGGCGCTCCTCTTCCTCCCTCGACTTTCGTTCCGCTTCCTCCCGTATGGCTCTCAGCCGGAGGGTTTCGTCTTTCTCTCTCTCCTTTTCGTCGGGCGCTCTCGCTCGTGCCCGGGCCTTCGGTCCCGAGGGTTCCTCCCTCTTTCGTCCCTTGGTCGACAGCGATTCTCCCTTTCGCTTTTCCCACAGCTCTTGCTCCCGGACGGCCATCGCCCTCGCCAGGGCCCGCATCTTTTCCTTTTGCTTTTTCAGGGCCGCCTTGGCAAAATTCTGTTCGTCCTCGAGTTCTTGGTTGTGGCGGACCCGGAGGTCGGCTTCGTGTTGGCGGAGCCGCTCGGTGGCGTGTGCCCAGAATCCCTCGATCGCGGCTTGGCAGGCGGCGCGGATCGCCTCATCGAGCTCGGGGCTGTTCCCACCAACGGTCGCCCCCGCCCGCGTGGTCTTTCGGATGGTGGCCTCGAGCTCCCCGACCTTCTTCCGGAGGGACCGCTCTTTCTCCCTCCGCTTTGCGCCCTCTTTCGTCAGTTCGGATTCGAGCGCCCTTTGCTTTTCTTCGCAATCGGCTTTGAGGGATTCGAGCTGGTCCCTGGCCCGGAGCAGCGCGTCCCGTTCGTTTTCGAGGCGCTCCAGGTTGGCGAGACGCAAGAGCTGCTCCTCGTCCTCGGCCTCTTGTTTTTGCTCGTTGTTGTTGTTGTTGTTGTTGTTGCTGTTGTTGCTCGCTGGTTTCGTTTTCGAGGTTGCTTTCGGCTTCCTTTTCGCTTTCGCCCTGGCTCTCTTTATGAGGGTGCGTTTTTCCTCGTGGACGCGGCGCAGCTGCTGCTCCAGCCTTAGAATCTCGTCGTCGAGCGCCTTTAGGTAGTACGAGTTGTTCCTCCGTACACCGCGTTTGATTCTCTGCTTGTGTACTATGATTTGTTGGGGTCCTCCGCTCCTGCCCAACGACCCGCTCCCACCCCGGGGGATTCCGAGAATCGGAGCGTGTATTTGTTTCGTCAAACCTGCTGTTGCTGCTGTCGAAGCCTTCGACGATCCGATTCCCGGTGGTGTCCGGATGGTTTGGGACAAATCATACCAGTCCCTGGTGCGACACAGTGAGGCTTTGGCTTCCGGTTCGTTTCCGAGAACCGGGTTTCCAGCCGCAGGTACAATGCCGAACAGGAACAGGGCCACTGCCAAAAGAGATCTCGAATTCCATCCCATGGTATTTCTCTTTGTCTTCTCCGTGTACCGTTGGTACTCGTGCTTCTCGTGGATGTTACGTCGCATCGTCCTCGGTTCGACTTCCATTTTGTCTTGTCTTTTCTTGTCTTTTCTCCTCTTCTGTTGGTGCTAGTTGACCTTCGCTTACCGATACCGATACCGATACCGATTCCGACTGTGCGCAGTACCCTACTTCTCACTTCAATTGAATACCGATTCCAGCAAGAGACAAAAATAACACAACTTGTCGTTTCACACTTCTTCGGAACAATTGAAGGTTATTGGTATCTACGGCTACGAGTACGAGTACGAATCGTAACGTTGTTTCGTTATTCTTCTTCCGGAGAAGATCCTACCGTACTCGTACTATAGTCTACGAGTACGAAGCGCATGAGTAGTACGTCTATGTCAATAATTGATACCGTAGAACCTTTGTTCGGCGTTACCGTAAGGCAGTAAAGATTACGGTACCGTACGATCGTACGTGACGTTACTCGTACATTCAGTACACTAACTAACGGTATAACGCAGACGTTACAAAATTCTTGCCAACACGTGTTGATTTTTTGCCATTCTTTTTTAATTCAATCGAGTCGTATTTCATATTCATTATTCAGAAACGAATAGATATAAAAATGATTGCCGGCTTTCGGAGAGAGCTGGGCGACACACAAAATAATTTAAAGTCGTTACCATTGTTTTTTTTGTTTCTAGAAGATTTCATTCCTTCATCCGTTCGTTCGTTCGTTCGTTCCTCATAACCAGATTCAAGTGAATCCCCGTTTTGTACGGTGCGAGTACGTAGCGTGCCGTCTTTTCACTCTTGGACACACATGGAGGCAAGGAATATTCCCTGTTGCAATCGGACGCCTGGGGGATCCGAACAGCGATTCCCACCCGATCCGATTCAATCGAAGGCCCGAGGATTTACGATTTATTGCTTCCTTGGTTCCTGGATTGATTCTTCTGAGAACGCAGGAGAATCATGGCACAAGCAACGATACGAGCAGCAGCTGCTGCATCCACCCATCAAAAGATGAGGACGACCACTCCAACTCCAACAACAACGACAACAACGACAATAGCAGCAACACCCCTCCGAGCAGGCAGGAGGGGCAAACGATCTGGGAAGAGAACATGGAGCAGCGGAACGCTGCTGCAAGCGTGCCTGGCGATCGCTACCGGAACCGTCTTTCTGGGAGTGGTACGAATCGAATCTGTTTTGTACCGGGAGTTCCGTGACACCACAACAAGGCGGGCCGAAGAAGACTCTCCCAACCTCTCGGGGAAGAGGCACCGTTCGAGCGGCGGGAGCGAAAGCGAGTACCAGGGGAACGACGAAGGGGGGGGAACCAGCGACGGCCTTGTCCGTCGTTCGACCGAGTCACGACCCATGATTGCCAGAGAGGCCGGACACGACAAACCCCGCCCGCGTTTGGTGTCGGGTTCTCGTATCGTCGCACTGAACGAACACCTGGAGAGGGCGACGATGCCAGCCGAGATCGGCCGTAAAATGGCGAGGACGATTCAAATGGAATTGGAAGACACATCCGCAGCCGCCGATGGCTACGACCACTACGGTGGCCACTTGGAGTTCGAGAGGGAGTATTATGACCAATGCGACCCTGTTTTGGATCCCTTGCCCAAAGTTCATCCCACGTGCAACAGCATCCATGAATTGTTTCTTTCGACGGAGCTCGAAAACGAAAGAAGCTCCTTGTTATCAATGAAGGGAGCCTGGAGGAGCGTTTGGAAAGTCGATCTGAACACAGTCGATAACGATATCGACAAGATGAAAACGAACACGACAGCATTGGCATTTGCACAACCCGATTCCAACAACTCAACCATCGTATCTTCCAATAAATCAACATCGACATCCTCGGCAGTTCTCAAAATGCTCCATCTCCACCGCCGTTTCGACCACCAATCGTTTGAGGCGCACGCCACCGACAGCATCGCCATGGATCGATTGACGGCCAGTCCGTACGTTGTCGACGCGTATGGCTTTTGCGGGCAATCGGTCGTGACCGAATTCGCCGAGGTTTCGGGGAGAGATTATGTGAAGCGCTACGACATTGGCTCCAGGGATCGACTGCGAATCGCTCGGGATCTGGCACGGGGGCTCGCCGACATCCAGGCCCTGCGGGCTCTCCCCCATGCGGAATTACTGGCAAATGCCACAAAGAACGCAACGACCATCGCCGACTTGGTGAGGGACTACGACGTCGATCGTGGCACCGGGATTCGGACGACGACAAGATCACCCATTGTCTTTGCCCACAATGACATCACTATCGCCAATACGGTCATGGTAGATGGCAGGATCAAATGGAACGACTTCAATATCGGTATATTTTTGAGAAGACCGAAACGAAAGAACGATGATTCCGGTCGCAAACTCCACCGTAGCGATGACTCGGGCAGTCGGAGGCACCTGCGTTCACCGGATACAAGAAGTAGCAGCAATCATCGACAAGTCGACGACGAAAGCGCCGACGCCAAGGTGCCACCGTCCAAGGGATCACAGTCGTTGTCGTTCCGGGCATTCACGGAGGAAAACAGCGGTACCAGCGACGAGGCGTTGTGTCCCGCCCCCGTTAAGTTTCGAAGCGACATGTGGAGATCCCCCGAAGAAATTCGGAACACGAGCTACGTTCAGATGACACAGACCGACGTGTATGGATTAGGAAACATCATCTACCAGACCATGACCCGCCACCAACCGTGGACCTACAAAGAACCCGGTGGGGCCCTCACCAAGGAAGATGTTGCCGTACGAAAACAAAATGGGACCATCCCGACGATCCCCGAGCAATACCTGAACACCACCAAGCGCGAACTCCAGACTCTCTTTGCKGCTACTAATCTCTGTTTCTTCCACGATCCCTGGAAACGCCCCACGGCACGTCGACTGGCCTTTGGTCTGGGAAGCCTTTACAACCGGGTGTCCCACAAAAAGGGGGTGACCCGGCTGATGATTCTGGATTATCTCGTTCCGTGACACGCGCAACCAGTACTACAAGAATGCGCACAAGAGAACAATGCGATGTGGGGCCAGCACTCGGAAGAGAGGCAAGCACACAGTGAACACAAATCATAATCCGCCGCAATCACGCTGTTGCGATACAAATGCAATGCAATGCCATGGCAATCCCATTTGTCCCTTTTTCTCCTTGGATTTGCTTTTTATCGACAGCTGTTCGCTGCGAGAATAATGACAGACATTGCTGTAAGCATTACGAATAATTTGCCTATCTACTCGTCATCAGATTTGTACACATAAGCATCGCACCACACATTCCGTATTTGTATCGCACTGCACACTAAGTGTAAAGGGATTGCAGAACGTCGTTCGTCCAAGAATGGCGCTGCTGCTGCTGCTGCTGTTCCCATCGTTGAAATGACCACACAGTGGCACAGAGCTTGGCTATGATGTGAGACATTCGTTCTGTTTCCGTTAGTGCCTAGTAGCATGCTGTCGTAACTACCTGTCACAGTGTGTGGCAATTCCTGGTTTTCTGGAGAGGTCCAAAGAAGTGTGCGTGTAATATAGGGCATACTATTTCATTTCTTGATGTACACACAAAACTATATGATTTGTGAACCGCAAAAATAATCGTGGGTTTATAATTACAAGTTGATAGTTCCAGATATATTTTGTGTTGGGTGTTCGTAGGGTGCGAAGCAACAGTTGCCTGGCTGCACTGCACTAGTAGCAAGCAAGCAATGTGCTTACAATAATTTGTAAGAACGGTTCCGCACGCTCTACCTAAGTGGCGCCCGCACCATACGAACTCGCGACACGGCACACTCCGTGTCGCTAGGGTCGCATGGGGGCACTTCACTTCGACTGAGTCACTTTCCTAAGTCCGTTGCTGTTGTTGACGCGACAGATAGCGGAGTGCTCATCCTAGTTCCTCCAAGAGGACTCAGGTGATCATGTATTTATTTTGCCAAGGGCAAGATATCGGCGACGTTTCCCATCTTCTCGTGGACCATGAGTCCGAGAATACCCATCTGAGCAGCACGACCGTTGTTGAGCTCGATGGCTCGCTTGCGGAGCTTGGTCTTTTCGTCAAAGTTGTCCCATCCGAGATCGAATCCACCGTTTCGGTAGTCACCTGGGAACTCAGCGTTTCCGAGGTGGTCCTTCATGACGCAGAACTCCATGAAAGCAATGAAGATGACAGTTCCGTAGATCTGGGACTTTGCTACAGGGTTTTCGGCCCACGCGCTTGGGGAAAGTGCGGCGAATCCGTTGGGCATGGATTCCATGCCGTCCAATCGAACACCAGCGTAAGTGGTGAGGTATCCAACGATGGCAAGCATGCTATATGCACGATTGTTGTTTGTGAGGTAGGAAAGAAAGAAAAGAGTCATGTGAGTCAAAGACCGGATGAATTCAATTCAATCTAGCTGAATATTGTATTCAGCGAGATTCCAAACATCACCAGATCCATCGCTTTGTTAATAATTACTCACGAGATACGTCCGTGCTTGATCTCGACCTCTCTGAGGCGATCAAAACGTCCCTGGTCTCCAGATCCGACCATGTTCATGGGATCCCAAAAGCCGAGAGGCATCTGGGCACCAACCTCGGACTTGAAGTCGGCGGCCTTCAAGGCGGTGGAGGCTCCCTTGTGGGAAGCAGGGGCAAAGGCAGCCGCGGAGGCGACAAGGGCGGTGAAAATTGCGAGCTTCATGGTTGGAATATTGATTTGTTTTGTATTGTGCTACTTGAAAATTGTGAGAGCATCCAGAGCTGTGGATGGCTTGGAAGCTACTCGTACTTGTACGAGAACTTGCTAGCAGCTAGTAGGAGGCCTCGATGCAGAGAGTTCCATGTACCGAGCAGAAATGCAGGACACGTACGCAAAAACGTAGACGACTAAACACAATGATCGGATTTGTTCGCAACCAAACCAAAAAATCACAAAACATCAACATCAACAAAAGGCGGAAGAAAGTATCTTAGGGTGCACAAAAGTCTGTCTGCGCCTCAAGCCTAAACAGATGACATCTTCTTGTTCTCCTTTGTTCTTCCCGTTGCCCTGTGGATTGCCGAGCTTTTTGGTTGTTGAACCTACCCAACGCGTATCTTCTTGAAAACTTGTTCGATCGAGTCGACTCATGGTTGAATATGGGTCTTGGATAAGACCAAGCGATGAGCAATACCGCGTCCCTCTCAACCGCACGATGACAGACTACGAAAACGAGATACAAAAAAAATCTTAGTAATATTTAACAAACAGGAAATCCTACTACTAGTAGTACTAGTAGTATCATCCTACTAGTAGCACTAGTACTAATAATAGTACTACTAGCTCCAGCGTCTATAGTATGTTGCTTCAGATTTTATACCATTGTAAAGATGTAGCATGCTGCTAGTAGCACCAGGTCCATTGAGGCATTGGTTGGGCCAAGAAGAACAAACTGTTTACTTGTGCCTTCCTTCTTGTCCTTGGTGATTTTGAAAAGGAGAGACGAAGAATTGAAATCATTGACTCTGTCAATGACCAGCAACAAGTAGCTAGTACCACTATGATCATGATAGTAGTCAAAACATTTTGACTTTTGCAGAGATGTGTCAAAAGTTTTGTGGACCACATGATGGCTCCTATTTTTCTATCCCGTTTGGCACTAAAGAATTCCTGGAGCTGGTTACTCCTATCTTGTCTGGTGGACTTGTGACAAATTTGACAGAACGCCTTCAGCTTACTAGGTGGAGCTACTACTATCTTTGCTACCTAGGCATGGGAAGATGGGGGGTACTAGCTGTGTTGGGAAAGCCATTCTCAGATAATCATGATGATGATAAAAACCACCAGAGTGTTTTCCTTTGCTGGGAAGGTGAGTATTTTTCATGCCTGCTCCATAAAGTTACATGAGCTTGATGCATGAATGAGTGCCAAATCAAGATACATGCATGTGCTCTGAAAAGAGAAGAGGAAAGATATTAAATATTTTTGATGGCATTGACTGCACAAAATGTGCAGTGTACTCAATTTGGTTTGTGTAAGGACATAGTAGTACTACTAGGACTAGTACTATACGCCCTGCTAATTGTTCTTGCTCTTTAACTGTTCTCATTCTTGAGGAAATACAAAAGGAACTTTGGTGGTTTTTTTAAGAAAAGAAAATTCTTGTTTTGGCTTGGTTTTACTAGGATTGAAGAATGATGCTTCAGTCTTCTCCAACAAGTATTTGAACTTGATGACAATCCCTGTTCATACAGCAAGTAGGACGTAAAACTTTTCTGCTGACCACTCGAATGCGAATCTTGAACTGGTAATATCTTCCCTTCCCGTAGTAGTAGGAGTTAGCTATCCTGGGCGCGGAAAGTACTGAAGTAATAGTATTAATAGTGGAATCATGTACGCTTATCTTCCAGTGTATCCTCATTTGTGATTGAAATCTCAAGCAATTGTAGTGACGATTGCGGCGATAAATAGCTACTAGTGAAGACGATGCAGTACGGTCCGAATTGCGTCTCATACTCGCCAAGTAGCTCGTTTAGATCACTCCACCAAATAACGTTGCAATAATTCATATCAACATAAGCGTTTTACCAGCATGATGATAATAGATCGTACACAAAGGCAACATCAGACAGACTACGAACGAATGGATGATCCAATGTCCTGGAGTCACTATCTCCTCTTTACTCTACGGACTATATTGAGTCTCTCGTGCAGGAAGAAATTGTTCATTTTGGGAGCTGCAATTTTCATTCAAGCTTGCTTGCTCGATACAGCCAACAACCCGCATCCAAGGCAGAATGAATGAATCACTATCCACCGATACGACAAAATTGCTCATCTGATTGTTCGTTCTAGAGCGAAGTCCTCTTCGTTTCCTTTCGGTGATTGCCCCATCCATTGTTTCTTTGTCTTTCGTCTTCTGTTTCGCTTCCTTAAGTCCATCGCCCCTCAATGCTTCTTTTTCTTTCTTCTCCTCTTCTTTTCTTTATTTGTGTTTTCCTTTCTGTGGTCGAGATTTTCCTGTTTCCTCTTGTTGTGCTCCCTCTTCTTCCTTCGCTTATCTTTTCGCTTCTGTCTAAGGTCGACCTCCACGAAACTGTCGATGATTTTCTTCCATGTCACTCCGTTGCCCTTCAGCGTCATGCCACTATCAATGGTGTGGGGATCGATATCGGTACCGGTTGACTGCCGTGGGTTGGGTTCGTTCTCGCTGCTGGCGTTGCCGTTGAGGTACAAGGAGTTTTCCAGGAATCGGAAATGGCTCTTTTTATCAAAGCGCTCGAGCCTCGACCTGGTAACGTGAACGATGGTCGGATAGTCACTGCGATGGATCCCGCCGGCAAGTTCTAGCGACAGTAACTGAAAGTGACGGTTCTTTGGTTTCGAGTTTTTCGATGGATTCGAATCAGAACCGTCGCTTTCTTGTTCTTTGCTTCCACCGCTAGGCAGTTCAAAGAACCGGCAGAATTTGTTTGTCGAGTTTTTAGCGTACATCTGAAATAGTACTGCCTGGTCCATGTTGTGGGGTGTGTGGTCCATTTCGTATCTCCAGGCGTCCAGGCACTGGCTGCTGTGCTCAGTCGAGAGCATGATCTGCCCACTTTGCCACAGGTGTTCCGTCGCTTTCTTGGTACGGATATGCGGATCCCTCCAGAAAGACCAGAAGCTGAATTCTCCGGAGGATTCTACAGTTTCCGTCGTTTCGTTGTCAAAGGTGTTCTTGCTGCTGGTATTTATTGCGCCTTGTTGCTGGATTGAGTTCACCAGCTGGAGCCGAACAGAATCGTAGTAGTCTTCAAAGAAACCAGAAAGCGGCCTCGTAACAATGTTATCCACATCGAGATATAGGGCGTGCTTTGGCAATACTCGGTTGCTGTGATCGGTTTTGTCGTGTGTGTATGCGTATTCAAAAGCTTGCTCGATGTACTTTAGCACAAGTGTTTTATATCGCTTGTAGTACATGTTGACGCGCTTTTTGTAGTGTTTAACATCGGTGCCGTCTTTTGTTTTTGGTGTCCTGTCTTCTTCTCTGTTTTCCATAACTATGATCTGCCGTTGTTTCGAATCGATGTGTCTCCCGATACGATTAGTAGCAGTGCTGGCATTTGCGGCAGCAACGGTATTGCCGAGCAGCGTCTCCGAGTACCGGGCGTACCCATCCCCGTCGGTGATAACGACGATCGTGCCGCCGAATTTCCCACCCACCCGGATCGATCGAACGCACCGCTCCACCATCCAGTTTTCACTGACCTTTCCCATTGCCACCAGAACCACCGCCGTGTTGTTCTCAGTAGGAGGTTCGGAGAAATTTTTAACCAACGAGGCAGAAACCATTTCGTTCTGGTGATTGGGCATTTGTTCCAGAGGCATTCTTCGCGCCTGAAAATTTGTTGGTAAAGCCTTTCCTTGGCTCAATTTTGTGATCATTTCTTTTTTTGAGATAGTTTTATTGGCGCTCGGAGTTCGTAAAGAAGTTGCTCCTTGACTTGCTTTCTCCGCGATACCTGATTCTATACTGGTTGTGGCGTTTGTAGATATATTTTTTATTGTTGTCGTTACTCCGCCAAAAAGGATTTCGGATGGTTTCTTTCCTTCTGTTCGGGGTGTCCGGACTATCGGTTGGTCCAGAAGCCAATCTTCTCTAGGTGATATGGAACCCTTGCTGATTTCCACACCATGAAACAATAGCGCCCGCTGTTCCTGTCGTTGGTACTCGGAAACAATCACCGCGGCTCCTAGTACCGTCAGGAAGAAAAAGACCACACGTAGCCTGCAGGCCAAGGTGGTTCGGTGGTCCCATCTCTGCTGCATGGTGGTTGGTTGGCGCATTGTTGATTGTGTCTAATTGTGTATGTTGTATGAGTGAATACGGCGTACCAAAAAGAAAAGGCGGCGTCGTCTGGTGTAGCGTCCTATGCTGTAGTGTGAGTACAATGTAGCAAATTGTTGTATGATACTATATACAGTGGTCAGATAATGTAGCCGACAAAAGAGTTGACGGAGACCTTGCTTGCGGTGGCTGTTCTTGCTATTGTTATTGTTTGTTGTGGTGCCTTCCCTTTCGTCGTGATGATTGGGAAATTGAATCGAATCTCCGAGTCGATTCAGTCAGTGATTGGAAACGTGACCGTTTGAATACCGACGTGCGTGCGCATAACAGTTGTGTGTACTGCTACAGAACCATCGATGGTCGACGCGACGGGGTTTAAAAATTACTTCTACTACTAGTAGTGTAAAACTTGAATGTTATGCTCTAGAACTGGTCTGATCCAGAACTGGTACGAGAAACAAACGGAATACCTAGCGGTACCCAGGTACTGTAAATCGACCATTCAACGACGTCCTTCCGTAGTAAGGAAATGGAATTCGTACTGTATTATGGTACTATTCGTACTGTAAATGTGTACGATAAACGTTTCAGATTTTTTTTATTGAGTCGTACGTACGTACGACGTGCGTTTACTTCTGAAGCAAAAAATAATAATGAATGAAACGAAGACGAAGGAACGACGAATTACCCTTGTTGTCGTTGCCGTTGCCGTTATTGTTGTTATCGTTGTCGCTATCGTCATGTTGCCATCATAATTGCCGTCGATAGAATACGGGTAAGGTAGGAGAAGGATGCATCAATCGACAGATATTGCAAGGTTTGTTCGCCTTTCACCACGGGCGACATAAAGATCGGAAGCCAAAATAAAAACTGTACGGTACTATAATTAAAATGAAACGGGAACAGTTCCTTCCCGTGCCCCCACACCGTTGTGCACGAAAAGACAAATCTCCGCCATTCTCTTTCGCGAAACGGGAGAGCAAGCGATGCACTGTCAACGATGAAATGCATATGGAAGGAGAAAGGAAATGGCACTAATGGCGCTTTCATGAGATAAAAAGAAAAAGAGCCAGCATCAATCAGTACTTCATTATGGGACAAGCAAAATCTCCATCGTCCTCAGACAATCGGAGATCAATGCAAATTTAGCGCTCGACAATACGTGTGACACGGGAACAAAGGTGTTCTTTTATTCAAGATACAAAATAAAGCACTACAGTACAATTGCGAATGCAAGGCGCTGGGATATGAAATATTAGCCATTCTCAGCACAACTTCCTTAGTTGGAATAGGAAGTGAGACCTTATTGATGTATTCGTTCCCAATGTGAGGCTAGATCACGAGTAGCTAGTGAGTGAGCCATATCCTCACTCTTTATTGTAAACCACGTATTATCATACACTAGAGAGCCTATCAGGATTTCGCAGGTTATGAGCAACAAAAGACCAGCATTTCGCACCCCTTACTGAACATACTATATGAGATCGTGTTATCTGGTGTTCGACTTGGAAATATGCCTCACCCCTTCGCTTTTTCCTGTCCCCGGATTGAGAACGCAGATTATCGATTGATTCATTATATCGAGTAAAGGTTGCCCATTCCTGATGACGGATCATCATTGGACACGTTAGATATGATTCAGCTGATATCATTTGCCACTTTTTGGGAACGATAAGAGAAAAATAATACTAGTTTTTGAGAAATATAAGTGGGATGCATCAGATTCTTCTTTTTTTTAAATGAAATAAACGATATTGTTAAATAGTTCTTGAGTAAGGAATCGATTTGCACAGAAAATCGATGATGTCATTCACTCGGCGAACCTCGAAAAGGATCACATTATTCATTTATCTTTATAATTTAGATACAATTAAGGTTCCGGGAAAAACTACGGGTACTCGTACTGTCCCGTACAGATGTCAGTTGGAAGATTTTCTTCGATCACGATGTTCGAAATCTGAGCCAATCCACCATGGAGACGTCGGAATGCGACGACTTCACGATCGACATGTATGAGATCTATTGTGAAACCGTACTTACTGGATTACAGTTATCCACCATGATATTGGCACTTGTCGCAATGCGGTGCGGTTATCGAAAAGAGACAAATTGGAATAGCTAAGCCATCGCGTATTTCTTCTTTGACATAGTCTTTGGGTGGGAGTTGTAATTAAAGTGTATCGTTAAAAATTGTATCAAAATCTGACCCATTAGAATGGATGCAAGTGTGCAAATAACCGTATCGTGTCGGAACTAGGAACAAAAAGAAGTTGTATTGGAATGAGGAATGAACTCCCGACGGCGAATGTGTTGAGGACTGTTCGAAGACTATCTTTTCCGTTCATTCGTGCCGTTGCGTTCTATTTCGATCAGGAAAAGAACACAACCTGGCTATACCCATTCACTGAGAGCGATGTTGCGGCTTCGGGAACCCACATCCATCGCCATCACCAATATTTTCGTTACATTCTTGTTCTTCCAGACTTTGGTACTCATTAATAGTTTGTGTACGTCCGCTTCTTGTTGGCAGCAGAGCGAGCGATTGCGACAGCAACGATTCTACGGAGGCAGGATCTCTTTGGACGTCATTGGTCACGAAGTCAGAGGGAGGTAGAGGTCTCTGTCGCCGCAGTAGTCGTGGTCGATACTGATGTTTGGTAGATGGCGTACTGCTTGCGCCCCTGGTACTGTTTCCATCCATCACGATATCCAGAGCAAGGCCCAATAGATCCCGATGCGGAGTGCGCGGTGGAATTATTGAGGGCGAAGACGACATTGTCGAATCTGATGTCGGTCCCATAGAGAAAAGAGCCTCTGGGATGTGGGTAGGGCGCATATTCCTGCTGATTCTGGATGGCAAAACGACAGAACTGTCGTTTGTCGGGGTAAACGCATGCAAAGCTGTGGTCCTGTCCGAAGAGGACCAGCAATCGTTGTTCATGGCAGCAGAGTGTGGAGGCATGATATTTTCTTTGTCTCTTGTCGAGTTCTCTTGAAAATAATGAAATATGAATCGTAATCGTACGGTATGATCAGAGATATCCGAAGAGTCCGGTATGGCTTGTTATGGCCTGTTATGAGGTTTCGTTTCTTAGCTCTTACTCTATTGGTACGGTTTTACGGCTGATTATGGTTCATGTCTTCACGCGACTTCATTATTTTCTCGATTGTATTACAGATATTGGTTTTGGTGATGCCCTTAGATATTGCCTTGAGAAACTTAAGTGGAAAACATCAAGCGATTCATTAAATCGAATAAGCTCGAGCTTCTAGGAAGCTTTGGGCTTAGAAAAAGTAAAGGAGATCTCGTCGAGCAATCATCAGATTTTGTTAAGTAACTTGGACCATATAATGGTCTATTCTCTAGTAGTGTTTAAGGCAATCAAAAAGTGGGATTCTTGTGAGTCAGATAGTTCATGCCATTTCAAGAAGGTATTTATTATAATCCTTGCACTGTTTGCGGGATGACAGAATGTGTTTTTCTTATCATTAAATACGATAATTGAAGAAATGAATCTCTACTGACATCATTCATCTTCGACTGTTCGCAACAATGAAAATTCCCTTATCACGGAGGCTTGGGTCAGCTGATTGGGACCAATGGATGAGTCATACATTGCCTTACCATATGGTACCGTACGCTACCACAGTACCGTACTCGTTGCCTGCGCTCATAATGCATAGCCCATGGGCATGTCTGATGAGCTTGCAAGAAAACAGAAGAAAGAGAATCCTTCTTTTCCCTATTGCAATAAATGAAATTCTAAGCTCTTCCTGCGAACCCTTTAGAATGTTTTTATCATCAAAGCACATTTCCGAAGAGCGATTTTCTTCCTATACCAACTACCGGTACGGTACGTACCATTCGGTACGGTACCTCAATGAATGAAAATTACAACATCCTGACTGTTTTTTTTTTCAGATTATCACTTAAATTTCCCGGTCTGATGATTAATGTTTATAAAATTTCACCCCGAACTTAAATAATATAATTGCCTTGTACCGACGAACCCATGATTGTTATGTAAGTGAACAATTCAATGCGTGATGAAGGCTCTAGAAGAACGTACGCCTTTGGGATCATCGAATTATAAGTCATCTATGAAATGCTTTGAGCACCCAGAACCTAAGCATCTATGGAATGTTCCACTGAAATTCTAAGTTCTTCCTGCGAACCCTTTAGAATGATTTTATCATCAGAGCACATTTCCGAAGAGCGATTGTTTTCTTCCTCTACCAACTGCCGGTACCATTCGGTACGGTACCTTAATGAATGAAAATTACAACATCCTGACTGTTTCTTTTTTTCGCTGAGAAGATTGCGCCAACAAGTTCCTTTAGACCCGCCAAGCAGTGATATTTTGGACAAGTTAAGAAATCGAAACACAAAAAATATTTCAGCCATCCGTAAACGACAGTTTTCACCACATTCACTTGACGAAGACATTGCGAAATATATTCACACTTTTTTCGCTCTATAGCACTCATACTTCACCAGTCTAAACAACGAACAACTTATTACTATTGACAAGATGGTGGACTGTACTGTTGAACAATACAACGATGAACGGCTTCAATCCTTTCCGGTGGTCTCGAACAAGAGAAGGAGATACAAAAGACGCGGGGGGCGTTGCCCTTCGATGCTTTCTGCACTAGCTGCGATGCAAAGCGATATGGAAGTCGAACGCGAACAGGATGACAACTCTTCCGAGCCCTCTGACGTCGATTTCGAGGGTCGATCACAATTGCCTTCCATCACGCAACCAGCACAAAACACTACCATCACTTCCTGTTTGGCATCTCGATTGTCTTCAGTGAAGCGAGACCTCGGGGGTGCGAACGCACACACGTCGACCGAAGCTGTGTTTGATGATATTGCAAGCAATCACTCACATTCCGACACATATAAAACTCCGAACTCAAACCCTTCCAGATATTTGTCCGATGCATTGTCTGCGCTGGATATCGACAACAACGCTGCGAATCATCACAATTGCAATATCAACAATAGAAGCTCTACCGATTGCAAAACGAACAATTTCATGCGCAATAACAGGGCTTCAAGAAGGCATAGTATTCCCGATTGTCTCATGCAGTTACCGGACGACTTCGATAACAACATCTTCACAATTCCTCTCAACGATAGCACCGATACAGCATTGAATATTGTACGCCATGCGTTGACGCTGTCACGCGGTGTAAGGCAGAACGAATAATTTTGTAACCAAATCACTAAAAATTTCATCCGAAAGAACTACAACCCGGTATCCACCCCCTCTTTTTGAATCAATCTCGCAACTGGAGATACATTGGCCTCAATCACGACCTGCCTATTTTGGAGCTAAGTAGTAGGGGCAGGCAAAGAAACACTTCATACATCATTCACGTTGCGTTGAGCACAAATGAAGGAAAAACGAAGAACAATTCGATTCACTACGAGACGGGACGGTAGTGTTTGATACCGTGCATCTCCAAGGTGACGAGTCAAAGAACTTCTACTACTCGGTATTTCCGATTCATATATAATTTTGGCAACGCAACAGTAACCATTCTTTACAATTTTAATCTCTAATGGAACGACTTTTTACAACACGAGATCGTAGTCTAATCAATTCTTAAAGAGACAAATAATAGAAAATACAGCAATACAAAGTGTATACGTGGAAACAAATACGTTTACGCTTAAAGACAGGACGATGGCGTTCGAAAGCGGTATCGTACGGGAGAAGACATAATCGTACTCGTTGTATTCTTTGGTTCCGATGGTAACAGTATCGAAGAAGATACTGAGAAGTCTCGGGTACGAGTATCGTACCGTACTGTACCGTACGTACCCAAGCCAACACGATGCGTGACGGGTCAGGATGGGAACACACGAATGATCATCTTAAGAGCAGGAAACACTACGAGTACTTATTGTTTCTTACTTCGTTAAAGTGAGCACTTTTGTTAAGTATGTTTCGACTTGTTTCTTCATAAGATATCACTACCCGTACCATTGAGTTCGGAACGCTATTTCTGGAGTTTGAATACAGTAGTCTGTATACTTACACACTCCCGAAGGATGACACAGCATACTCGTACCTCCATTTCCAACGAGTAATGTACGTACATAATAGTAACTGTACAGTCTTCACGTAAATGAATAGGAAGGGACTGTACGTGACGATAGTTTTGTTGTGTATCTACTTCCGTTTGCAATAACAAATTAAAGTTACTTATGGGTCTGATCCATTGAAACCTGATTTAACGCAAGAAGAAGGTTTGCTGGGATTACATACAACAGATGTTCCCGGGGATGGTAGTAAGACAGCACGTATGGAGATAATTAAAATACGTCTTGGGACCATTAGAAATCTATGGATTCGGACATGAAAGGCTATAGAAATTATTTGTCTGGCAATTGATTTGTATGTAGTCATTCAGGTTCTCAATCCTGTCATGCAATCGTTTGCAGGAAGGTCTCGAGTTCGATGGAACATCTCAGGCAGGCATGGCCATAAACAAAAAGTAGTAGTGGTAGTACGTACCTACTGTTAGTAGTAGTGGTAGTTCCACAACCTGCTGACGCATTTTTCCCCTTCTCTTTTACCCTTTTCGGTACTAGAGCAATAGTAAATAATACCTACAGTACGGTACTACTGTATTTTGTAGTGTTGTGTAACGTAACGTTCTACGTTACGTTCGTAAAAGGAGGCAAAAGCTGAAGAGGTTAACCGCCATCAATTTAGCAATGGTGCAGCAGATGTCAATATTGATCATGCGTGTAAACCTGAACTTGAGCTTTACATTCGTTCTGAGCGCTTGGCCTTAGTCAAGATAATTGGAAGTAAGACAGTTAACAATGATCCACTCCAGTGGTGGAAAAAGCACCAGGGAAGTTATCCAATTCTTGCAAGGCTGGCCAATATCTATCTTCCTGTGCAAGAACCCACTTCAGCCCCATCTGAGTGTGTCTTCAGCCATGCTTCCAGACTCCTCTCAGTCTGCAGGAAAAGCATTCTTTGTATCTAAACACTGGGAGTGGTTTGAGAAGCAGGTTAATTTGGCAGAGATTGAGATGGCTGAAGCAGATGGTGAGCATGCTTATGATGACGAGTAAAGGAGGAGGTCTAAGAGGAGGAACAAAGACTTTATTTGTGTCAAATCATACATTTGCATCTGAAATTGGATACACACCTAGTAATTGGTAAATAAGTAATAGTGAATAAAGATGTTTGAACTGTTGTATCAGCTTTCCAATAGATTTCAGCATTAGGAACGTTTCAAATGTTTACTAACGCTAGCGTTACTAACGCTCAGAAAATTTTTTGGGAACGTTTAGCTTTTTTTCCACACTAACGTTTTTCTAACGTTCTAACAAACGTTTTAGTTTGTAATGTTTTTAGGAACATAACATTTTACACAAAACGTTACGTTACACAACACTACTAGTATTTTGTACACTACCAGTAAATTTGATATAAAATGCCAGAACCGTAAAAATCCTACCACGCCCTACAGGGCAAAAAGGCATTCTACTCAAACACCAAAAAGATTACTTCGTACTAGTGAAATTGCGGATAATTTTGAAGCCCAGTATTTAGTACTGGATCCTACATAGATCTACTACTAGTAGTTTTCTGTCACTTTTACAACCACAGTGTAATAGTAGGACATTTAGAACTGCTTCAGTATGTACAGTATGGTCTGAGAGCAGCTGTTCATTGGGAAGAGCTTCCTACCAGTAATTTTGTTGGGAACACGATGTGCAGTGATTCTCTCCTAGTATTAACAGCAGCCCATAGTACTACTACTAGTAGTACTACTAGTATCATGGCAATTGCCAGCAGCCAAGACAACTGGCTGCTGCTGCTGGTTAGAAAATAGGCCAGAATTCTATCAAAAAAACTCTTGATCACCAGACTAAGTTCCTACTAGTAGTAGTCCAAGTTGATATAGTTACTACTAGTACTTAAACATTCAGCATGTCATTGGGAAGCCAAATGATGTCATTCTCCTCCTCCTACTAGTAGTACTACTAGTACTAGTAACAGTAGTAGTAGCGGCTTGTTAGAAGATTTAGTAGTCAGCCAAAGTTACAGTAAAGAGTGGCATAAAATGCTTAATTCTAGGTGTAATTTTAAATCCAAATTAGCTCATAGTACTAGTAAATACAACTGGGAAAGAATGGAATTACAAAATGCAAATGAATACAACTGGGAAAGAATGGAATTACAAAATGCGGTAGGAGAAGGAGGAGGTTGACACCACCAGTTGCTTCAAAATAGCATCAAGAAGTAGACCAGCTGCAAGAAATCACCACAGGATGGCAAACAATGAAACAAGAAGAACAAGAATGCCCTAAACCAATGGAACAAAGGAGGAACAGCTCAAGATCCAGAGCATCATTAAACGGCACAGTGGAAGATTATCCTTGACAGCCTGTCTTTCTTCCTTCCTGGATGAGGTCCTTGGTGCAATTGTTGCAAGTTGAGAAAAGAGACTTGAAGAAGTTACTTGCTAAGATCAAACTGGTGATTAAAAAGGAAATTGCTGAAAAAAATTGAATCTCTTGATCAAACACTCAAATATAACAGTTGAAACTTCTGACTGGCAAATCACCTTCTGTCAGCTACAGTGAGAGGCTTCAGACATCTGTGAAGTTGGTCAAAAATGCAATCCATCCATATACTACTCAATCAATTGTATCACCTTGTCCTGCTGCTAAAATATCAAGAAGATCAAGAAAGGCCTTGCATCCAAATTAGAGAGCTTTAAGCAAGGACTCGGAAATGTAGATGGATCAAGATATTGCTTGAGTAAAGTGCTGGAACTACTAGTACTAGTACTAGTACTAGTACTAGTACTTGTAGTAGTACTAGTAGTAGCACTTCCTTGGGTTGACACAGCAAAGAGTCCACCACAACACTCCTACTTTCTATCACATTCTTATGATAGGAGGGTTCTCCAATTACATTTTTACTACTACTAGGTGCCAACTGATGATGCTGAAACTGTCAGCATAAATGTGATGGATTGATACAAGTCTGATGTTCAGACTCAGCAGCAATACTAGAGTGGACAAGAGGAGAGGCATGCATTACAAGAAGATTGGTGGCAAGACTACTACTAATTGTGTCCAGTCAATGATGGACTTTAGGTCACTTTTCAAGGTAGAACAAAGAAAAGAGAGTTGCAATGATACCATCCAGCAAGAAGATAGAAAGAAATGAGATTCTCCATACCATAACTAGTGCCTACCAAAGCAGGGACTCTAAGTCCCAAAGCACTGAAAATGTTGCTGGAGAAAGAAATGAAGCAGCAGCTGAAGATACAATGACTGCTCATTCTTCCAGAGAAGAGATCTTCTTCTACTATTATTAAATGTGCTCCAAGAAGTTCTCCTTGTCACATCAACAATAAGGCAAAAGTTTTCTCCAAAAAGAAGCTACAACAGTGTGCATTTGTTGGCAATAGTACTGGCTTCATTAGTATCTAGTGGTGGGGTTGATGGGTATCCACCAGATGTTCATGCAGTGATATAGGAGACAAGCAATGTCCCCTTGTTTCTTGATGACCCAAGTTTGCAAAAGTGCGTCATGGATACACTTGTTCTTCAGTGTACTAATACAGATATGTATAGTACTACTACTAGAGGAGCAATCATATCTGAGGATTTCTTTGGTTCCATATGTAATCCATTGAATTATGGTTGTGAAGGCAAGAATATCTGGAGGTTGACAAGTAAGTCTTTGTTCTTACCTGCTTACAGCTCTCACCTACCTTCACCAATAGTGAAACCTTGAAGAGAAGGAACAATTAGGCAGTCAAGAATCTGGATGATGGAACAACAAGGAACTTTTGACCTGAATTTAAAGGTATTGCTTACAAAAGAGTTATTTATTACATTTCAAAAATGACCACCACCATATTGGGAGTATTGCACCTCTGAAGGCAATGGATCTTGCTTTCCTACTAGTAGTATAACTAGTACTGTTACTTCTACACAACTCTTGCTCTAGTAGTTCAGGGAGAGGAGCCTCCTGAATATACTAGTAGTAGCACCAGCAGTATTCAATTTAAAAAATATTTCATAGGTTGATTGGCACGTGATCCACCAGTAGCAGGAGTAATGTTGACCTCCTCTTCTTCTTGGCCCTACTGCTTATCTCGCCCACCAGCACAAACACAATTTGATGGGGGTTGTACTTCTTCTACTCCTATTCCTTCTACTACTCCTTCTACTACTACTACTACTACTCCTACTTTCTCACATAATTCATTGAACAAGTCCTTTCCTTCCTCCATGTACTAGCCATCCCTATTGCCACTCTTGGCATCACAATGCCTTTTCTTTCTATGGAGGATCTCAGGATTGATCTTCCTCTGCTGCTTCTGGTTCTCCCAAACATGGTGTTCATTGAAGATCAATATTAAAGATCAATATTAAAGCAAATGCCTCATCAGTGACTGAGAAGATCTTGCTGAGTAAATCTTTGTCTTTCCTTTGCTTGAAGTTACTTTTTGCTGGATTGATGGCAGACAAAATTTTGGTCGAATAATGATAAATGGTGATACTGGATAACTGCTGCAAAATGGCAAGAAATGTGGACAATCAAAATGGTGCAGAAGGAGGAGGAGGAAAGCAATCAGTACAGTATTCATAGAAAAGTAGTAGTACTGCAGTATTCAATTTAATTCCTACTACCAGTACTACATCCTACATAAAAGCAAGTCTAATGTATCTTGAAAGGAGGAATTTGTTGAAATAGAATGAAAATCATCCGTCACACAGTGAAATTTAAGAGCATTTTGAATCCTTGGTGGTGGTAACCAGCAATACTAGTAAATAGTACTGATACAGACCTATTGCTAAAACATAGTAGTAGTATCCACAACCAACACTATTGCTTTCTGTGTAGAAACTACTACTAGTATGAGAAAACACATTTGGTAGTAATTATGTCGTCAGTATCACTACTACTGTTTGTAGGAGTCCTGGTGAAAGCATCTGTATTATTTGTACTTCTGTCATCCAACACAGTACTACTAGTACTGTTACTAGTATTAATAGTGCAAGCACAAAGCAAAAGAATGCAATATATAATTCTTCTTGTTTGCTTTGGTGGTTACCACAACAACCAAAAGGAGTAGAGTGGGAAAAGTCATAGTTGTTTGAGTCCCACCACTGTTCCATCACAATTAGGTCTTTTGTTACTCTTTGGCATTGTTACTAGTATCATCCTTAGTAGGTGTATTTTTGTCTCCTCTGCTGGTCACCGATGGGCAAGCATGATGTGCTATTGTATGAAGTCCAACACTTTTCTTCCTTGAGAAACACTTCAAAAACTACAGTAAAAATACCAATTTTGCTGATAAGAACTCTACCACAAGAAAGCAAAGAAGTGCAAGGCCCAAAAATCTGTGAAATAGTAGCAAGAAGGAGTCCCTGCTTGTTCATATGGTGATCATCATAAGTAGATAGTGTTCTTGACTCTCCTCATCACAACCACCAATGAACAACAAGGATGCCTGTACTACTTTGAGGAGGTTACAACCTTTTCTCAAGTGGTAAAAATACCAACATTACTAGTATTACTAGTAATTCTGCCACAAAATAACCAGGTCCTTTGCTACTATAATCATTAGATACTAGTATATTCTTGTCTCTTGATATTAAAAACTGACAAGTATCATGTATTAGTTTTACTAGGACGTTAGTACAACTCTTTCCCCTGGTAGAAAGCAAACATTCCAGGTACTAGTATAGCAGTTGAGATAATACCATATTAGTAACAAGATGATTCTTACTAGTAGTACTACTAGTGGCCCAACTACTAGTACTACTAGTACTGCTAAAAATAATTCTAGTAGGACCACAACGAAATATAGTATGATGCCCACCAGCTTAGTAACTACTAGTAATACTACTAGTAATACTAGTACATCAAAACTAGCAGGTCCTTTGTCTTTTCTGTTACTACTTGTGCATCCTACTACTAGTGTGATCATCATTAGAAACATTCTTGTTATCTGCTCTGATCACTAGCAATGCACAAATTGCATGAAGTACAACAATTATATGCTGAAGTCCAGCAGCCAATTCTTTTCCTCTTTGAGGAGGGACAATACTAGTGGTGGGGGTAGTGGTAGTACTACTACTTATATTTATGCTGCAAGTGAATCAATCAATACACCACCAGTGTGAGGCCCATCTACTACTAGTAATAACTTCTCTGGGGTGAAAAGTAAGTCCTTCGTCTTTAGCTGTTTGAATGATTATCATACTAGTACTACTACTATTGTTAATTTCCCCCCCAAAAGTGGTGGCCATCAAAAGATAAAAATATGCTGTTCAACAATTACCACCAGAGAGAACAATGGTTTTGGGATTGATGGTACCAATAATACTACTACTAGTAGTAGTACTGCTACTTGTACAAGAACTTCCAGCAGCCAACTGTCACTCCTGTATGGTTTGTGCAGCAAGGAGGAGGACGCTAAAAGCCACTGCTAGTACTACTACCAGTAGTAACAATCAGGAGCAGTATTTCTAGTAGTTCTGGTGGTAGCATGGGGATGACGGCAATGGTGGAAGCATCCTCCTCCTCCTTCTCATCAGCAGCATCCTCGGTTTCGAGACAGCGACGCGGCGTTGCCCGCGTTCTCGTTCTTGGTGGTTCCAAAGAGTCTTTGGTTTGGGGGCAGGTTGCTGGGCAGCCACTAGTTGGTACTAGCTAGCTAGCTTGCTTGCTCCCCACAAGCTAGTTTGTTAGTACTGCACTGCACTGTACTAGTAGTATATTTGGAGGAAGGCACTGCACCATGCGCCATCGAAATCGGCAGTGGCACCGCGTGTGGTGTGGTGTGGTGTGGATTGTTGTGTGCGTGCGCCGAGACTCCGGGGGAAGCAAAGCAAAGCGGGTGTTGGATGGTATGCGATGGGATGGGATGAGACTCGACTCGATCCGGGAAGGGAACCCATCCCCGCCACCCGCCGTTGGATCGTGGGATCGGACCGGCACGCGATGGGACGGAAGCAGGGCAGGGGAGGGGAGGTCAAACCAACCAACGGCCCAAGGGGCCGTAGTTCCGGTTTCCGGAGATTTGCTGGTGCGAGAAGCAGCATCATCAGCATCAGCAGCAGCAATCGTTCCTCTTGCCGGGTTGCCGTTCGTGCGATGCTATGGGGTGCGTGTCATCTCTTGCGCCTTGCGGTGCGATCGAGAACGATGCGTTGCTTTCCACGACGAACACCCAGTTCTGTTGTGTTCTGTTGTATTTGTGTTCTGTTTTATTGTGTTCTGTTGTATTGTGTTTTGTTCTGTTGTGTTTGCTCCCCCGAGCACAAAGGGTACGGGGCGAGGGAAAAGGCCCCACGAGAAATTATTCTCGCCACCTGCTTGTTCTGGCACGGTACAGACCTACCGGGCATCGTGCGTTTTGGATGACTGCTTCGAAGACGGATGAACGATGGTGATTGGGATTGGGATTGGGATTGGGATTGCGATTGCGATTGCGATGCAATGATGAGATGCGATGTGATGAATTGCAGCGATATGGTTTGGTTTGGTTTGGTACGATACTTTACGGTAGTTCCGCGTATGTACTATGTACGGTATGTCGTGCTTGCATTTCTGGCTCATATTCGGGAGCCAAAGCAAACAATGATGGGTCGGGTTGGTCGACCGTGTTGGTCGATGAATCCCGAATCCACTCAATCTCTACCGTATCTCTAGCGTATCGGTGTCGTCTCGTTTCCATTTGAATTCGATGATTGGATTGTACAGTTCGTTCGATATTCCATAAAACATAAAATAACGAATTGCCTCCCCACCGAGACAAAGGGGCTGTTGTCTTGATAGGCATAGAGAACGCCCACGTGGCAGGCAGGCCTTCCGGTTGGGCCAATCCGAGAGCGTCTTTCGTGTCAGAGAACAATCATTCTTCTTAGAGAACAATCGTTCTTCTTCGAGAAGAATGACACGGTGACACACCATCCCGTGAGCCCGTCGCCTTGTTGGTTCCAGTACTCGTACTCGTACCCGATCGATCACTTCGAAAAAAGTAGCAACCCCCCCCTTCTTTCTCTGAGGTGGCGACGATCGCAATCAATGGGAGAGAATTTTGTCGGACGGATACCAGTATGTACCGGTAGGCAGGGGATCTGCAAGCAGTAAGCCTGCCGGTACGATTTCCSSACTTCGACTTTACGTAGGGTGGGAATCGTTATCGGTATTGCGTTACGGTRACGGTGTACRGCACTATAGTGTTGTTTTTTGTTTCTAAGCATTCACGGTCGACGGTTCTTATGGCAGAAGGTAGTAGTGTTTGTACGATGGCTAAGTATTTTGGTGACGCGATGCCTGATGTTTCATCCACAAAGAACACATTCTTCTCCATCAAAGCCTGAAGCAGAAACCCGATCACCAGCGCAGATTGGTTGTAGAGTGTAGAGTCCGAGTTGTACCGGTACGAGTACGAGACCGTACGTATGGTTCCGTAGTGTGGGAAAAAGCACGAAGTACCGGTATCAATCCAGAAAGTACGGGTACTTGCGTAACCTACCATCGGTCGACCCCAAACTCGAAGCCAAACTACCGTCGGAACGGCACCCCGCAGCTTTTGTTTCACTGCATTGGGGGCAAGGACTTCACTGTACCATAACATACCATACGTACGGTGCTGAGTCGATTCGTTCCTCGAGGAACAGCAGCGTCACCGAGAACAGAATCGGAATAGAATAGAATCGAAACAAAACCGATCCAAAGGCACTAAACCCATATCGGATCAAGCAAATCCTACCACACCAGGAATTCGAAACTCGCAAGAACAGATACCACCGCGTTCGTTGTTCTGTCACAATTCTCGAAAGATCTCGAAGCAATCCACCATCCAAGACGCACCAAAGACAGTGCTCCGTGCTCCGGTAATCTAGCCACAGCTGCATACCTCAAATACAAGCCCAAGCCCAAGCTCAAGCTCAAGCCCAAGCCCAAGCCCAAGCCCAAGCCCAAGCCCAAGCCCACCAGACCAGACTTCACCACACCACACAACATCACACTACACCACATCAAGCGCAACATGGCAACCCGAATGGCTTCCTCGACCGTCGCCGCCGCCTCGTGCGGGGGCGCACACACGGCACACACGGCACACAGCCTCCTCCCCCACGCGGCCTCGGCGGCGGCGGGCCAGCTGGTCCAGCCGCACCAGCACCAGCACCGGGGGAAAGCGTCCTCCCCCGCTTCTGCTGCGTCGGCACGGGCCCACCAGGTCCCCAACCGCTTCACGGTGGCCTTTGCCGAGATGAAGCGGGTCTGCCCGGCCTCGATCTCCTCCTACGCGGCCTGCGTCCTGGAGGCGGAGGGATCCTCGTCGGCCATCGAGAGGGGCTCGTGCTCGGAGGAGTTCCGGAGGGTCAAGGACTGCTTTCGAAAGGTCCGGGGCTTTTGAGGAACGAACGAACCGGGGAAGCAAGCAAGGAAGGAAGGAAGGAAGCAAACGCAAGCAAGCAAGCAAGGAAGGAAGGAAGGAATGGGTGGACGGATGCCTGCCTGTCTGCGGCATCCGGTGTGGCGTTGTGCTTCGGGAGTGGGGCACGGCGGAACACACACACACGCGCACACAACGCGGTAGTTTGTGCCGCAAACGTTGCGGTGCGGTGCAGTCCATCCGGGCCGGCATTGCATCGCACGGCAGCGGATTTGTTACGACACGACACGACACGACACCATGCGTTTTATGATTTATGATTTATGATATGATATGACACGATACGATTCAATTGCATTGGACACGGTTTGGATCTCGATCGATGCAGATCCCAAGAGAAGCAAGCCAAGCCGTTGCGGCCCGAAACGAAACGAAACGAAACGAGACGAACCGTTGTCGCGGTCCGTGGACCCCTCGAAAGAGCCGCTCTCGGTGTCCCTGTTCGTTCGGGATGGGGGCAAAGGMTCCGCGAACGACAGACCGGTCGTGGAGGATGCATCGGAAGGGTTCCGAGGGAAACACCGCTCGGGCGGCGGTCGCGCCGGCGACCAATTGGAAGACACGATCCGTTCTGGTCAAGAGCCGGTATCTTGGAGGCTTGGCCGTGCCTTTTCCCCTATTCCGGTTCTTTTCTTTGYGGCGGTTCGTTCGGTCGTCGCCGGACCGAGCGAAACGAAAGCGAATCCAGTCCACGGASGCGGCTTGCACGTTCTCTACAGTATTTATTTCTATAGCACTACCATCACAAACATTCCACGCGCTCGATGCACACACACATACACACACGAAAGCAACTACGTTTTCAACTTCAAATGCAATAGTTTGTGGTTGTGACGAGAGATTTATTGTGGCCATCGTTCCTTTCGAACTTTTCAGTGTTTTGTACCATAGTTTTATTCCCTGTTTTCTGTTTCGCATTACCCTCAGGAGAGGCGCGAGTAGGAGTACGTATGTATGAACTGCGAGAGTTACTTTACCGTACGGTATGGTTATGGAATATGGAACAGCATGCATTTAGCGGTGCATACCGTACGTACCAGTTCGAGTCCGTACCGTACTTCTGTTTGTGTATGATGTGAAGTAAGCATTAAATGTATCTTGCGGTATCGCCCATGCTCTCATACGTAGTGTCCTACATGCAAACAGTACGGGTACTCACAACACGAGCGACGTACATACCGTACGACTCTAAACATTCTCCTACGTGCAAGTGAAAACAATGCCGGACGAAAAGGATTCCAAATTCCAACAAAAAGGTATGCTACGGTTGACAGTACGTACATGCCGGTACGTACGTACCGTAGCATAGGTAGGGGCAGTCGATGGTACGAGTACGTACTAGTACGAGTACCGGTACAAGTACGCAGGGTAGGGAAGTGTTGGCAGATATGAAACAGCAGAACTGGAATTGGAATCGTAGCGGTACAAGCAGCTGCTGCAACCACCACAACCACACCCTCCACAATACGAACACGAGTACGTACCGGTACCAGCACCAATCCATCATCGCATCGACCAGAGACACAGCYATGCAACCAAAAGAATCCAGACCAGAACCAGCGGCCAAGCCCGTGGCCAAGCCCATCGCTACGTCTTCGTCTTCCTCCTCCCTCCGGTCGTCCGCCAAGAGCTTTTTGTCGGGCGGGGTGGGAGGGGTCTGCGCCGTCCTGGTCGGCCACCCCTTCGACCTCATCAAGGTGAGGATGCAGACCGGAATGGTGTCGGCGGGGAGCGGAAGCGGTGCCTCCGTCTTTGGGGCCCTGGCGGCTACCCTCCGGGCCGAGGGCCCGAGGGGGCTCTACCGGGGGGTCTCGGCACCGCTGGTGGCCTCGACCCCGATCTACGCCATGAGCTTCTGGGGCTACGACGTCGGGCAGAGRATCGTGCGGTCGGTGGGCGCCGGCGATGGTGCCAGTGCAGAMAGCGAGCGGCCCCTCACGCTTCCCGAGATCATGGTGGCGGGGGGCTTGTCGGCCCTGCCGATGCTCCTGGTGATGACCCCGACGGAGCGGATCAAGTGCCTGCTGCAGGTCCAGACGGCGGAGGGGAAGGACGCGAACGCGAATGCGAATGCGAACGCAAAGGGAGGCGCTGCCAAACCCCAGCAGCGGTATACCGGAATGGTGGACTGCGCCACCAAGCTCTACCGAACGGGGGGCCTCCGCTCGCTCTACAAGGGAATGGCCCTGACGATGGCGAGGGACGTCCCCGGATCCGTGGCATGGTTCGGAACCTACGAGGTGGTCAAGCGGTTCCTGTCGTCGCTCCTGACGGATTCGGGAAGCGGGGAGGCCAAGCCGCTCTCCCCGGTGGCGGTCATGGTGGCGGGTGGTTTCGCCGGCATGGCCTGCTGGGGGACGACCATCGTCCCCGACAACCTCAAGTCGAGGTACCAGGCGGCCCCCGAGGGGGCCTACAGGGGCGGGGCCCTAGAGGTCTACCAGACGCTCGTCCGGAACGAGGGCTACGGTGCGCTGTGGACGGGCTTTCGGCCCGCGATGATCCGTGAGTTCTTTTGTTTTGTTTTGGGTTGTGTTTTGTTTTGTTTTGTTTTGCTTTGTTTTGGGTTGTTTTGTTTTGTGTTGCTGGTCCGGCGATGGCATCCGTGCTTGCTCATTGGATGCAGGCAATTCAAGCAGCGCACCGAACCGCGTTTGCAACCTCGCGTGCCCTGCCGTAACACTCACCCGCGTGCATCTTTCGCTCTATCCTTCCTATTGATTTGATTTTTGGTTTTATTTGGTTTGATTCGATTCGATTTGATTTAATTCCATTGGATTTCATTCCATTGCATCGACCAGGCGCCTTTCCAGCGAATGCAGCGTGCTTTTTGGGAATGGAGGTAGCCAAGAARGCCTTTGCGTTCCTTGACTAGCAGAGCAGATCGAAACAAAACACGAGAAAGCCCATCGTTGTTGTTGTGGTCGTTGTCTGCGAATACCGATGCAGCTGCTTCGACTCCATCCATTCCATTCCACTCCACTCCACTCCACTCAACGCAACGCAACACAACGGCACGGCGCCGCCTTGCACGGAATTTTGTTCTCACGGTACAGTGCGGCACCGGATTGCCTGTACCTCTATGGCTGCGCACCTATCATGGGTGTATTCCATGCATCTATGGATGTTGTAGAGGTGGGTCCGAACGAGTCGACAACGAAACGAAAGGAAACGCATTGAATCGAAACTCGGGGAATCGTCAATATYATCGTTGGAACCTTGCGAGAACGCGCACCAAACAAACGACGTCGTTCTACCCATCTCCACTCGATCCATTCCACACAAAACGAAGGAATGGTTTGGTGGTTTTGTGATGGGTGGTTCTTGGGTGCGAAAGGAATGGATCGCGGCTCGGCTCGGTTCGGCATAACATCGCACCGAACTAGATATGCAACGCTACGAGCAACACAACACAGCGCAACACAGCGCGGCACAACACAAAACGCCTCGCTTCGCGATCGCTCGGTGCAAGAAAACGATTTGGGGGACCCGTGCAAGAGAGAGTCTCCCACCATCGTTCCGCACGCGTGGTAGGTACGAGTACCCTTTGCCTTGGATGCTTCCGGTGCTCTTCGTTTGACGCGCGATACGATACGATACGATACGGTGCGGTAGGTACCACAAACGAATCCCGTGGCCACGACCCCTGCGCTGTGGGTCGGCAGCCGAGCAGGAGGCCGAGTCCCATCGCTCAGTGCGGTTTCCGGAACGTCCACCACCGACGGACATTTTCCGACAAGAAAAAAATCCCACCGGACGACAAGTCCTGAGTACAATATTGCATTATTCTTTTTCGGTTTTAACGTAATTTCCATCTTGATAACCAAGCAAGCATTCATGGCATTTRCCACTGTAGCCAGTTTCTTCGACTTTGATGTCCTTCGCGCCGCGCCCACCGCTATCRTCTCAAAATCATGTTCTTTGCAGTAGACTCTTGCTGGTCGCGATGTATCGAGCGTGACAGGCGTGCGTCGGGTGCTTGTTCGGTTCGTGGGTTGTGAATAGTTGTCTACAACCCCTCCCCGTCCGTCCCGTCTCCTGTCGACCGATCGACGCGAGGGGAGGGAGCGAGTGTTTTGTATCCTGCCGCACTGTACTGTATGCGCGGGGAACACCGAACCGTTGACTCGACTCTGCGGTACTGTATGCGCCGACTGGGAATGTTTGGTTTTCTAACTACGGGATGCCCATCCCCAGGGAGCCTTTTGGCGAACAACCAACTCGTTTCGGTCGAAGGATACGAAGCAACGCAAGACCAACTCCGCGTTTGCGTTTCTGTCTGCCGTTTGGGACGTTGCCTTTCTCGTTGACACCAACGGTGTCACTACCAGCAGCAGCAGCAGCAGCAGCAGCGCCCATGGATGAATGCGAGCTCGTTGCCGCGTTGGCAAAACAGACAGAGCATCATTGTCAGGAATGGCAACGACGTCACCGACGCTACTACCAGCAGCAGCAGCAACAGCAGCAGCAGCACCAATCGATACATGCGAGCTCGTTGCCGTGTTGGCAAAACAGGTAGAATAAGAACCCAGTCTCAACGTCGCTGTCGACACACGGACCCCGTGCATATCGTGCCTTTGATTGCCTCGGTGTCAACATTGCATTGCATTGCATTGCATTGCATCTAGCAGCTTGCAATCCTCGAGGGGCTGCACGCCGGTGCGTCGCACCTTCTTTTCTCTGGCCGCAATGACCAAATTCGACAAACAAAACAACCCCGGAACCACGTTATGGTATGGTATGGTATGGTATGGAACGGACCGCTTCGGCGTTTGCGTTTCGTTTGCGTTTGCGTTGGCTTCCTCTTTTGTTTCTCATTTTCTTTAGCAGCAAGCAGCCACCCGCCGCACCGGGGTCCGTGGCTTTTTCGCCGGCACTGGCGGGTGTTTGGCGTTGTTGGTCCTTTTGCCGTTTGTAGTGTGTTTGTCTTTGTCTTTGTCTTCGTCTTTGTGTTTGTTTTGTTCTTTTCCATCCAAGCCGGTCGGCGTCCTGTTTGTGCCTGCGGTGTTGTTTTTGCTGTTGCTGTTGCTAGTGGTGTCTCGATCGTTCCCATCCAGCTTGGTCCCTGCAAACGTTGGACCCGTTACCAACGACGACCCCTGGGTTCCGCTGGTCGTGCTACTAGCCCCAACGGTGCTGTTGGTGGTGGTAAGACCCGAAACCACCGATTCTTGTTCGTTCGATGGGTTCTCGTTGCCGGTCCATTGGTCTTCCCCCACCGAGCTTTCGCTGTTGCTTTCGCTGTTGCTTTCGCTGTTGCTTTCGCTGTTGCAAATGTCGCTGTTGCTGATGTAGCTTTCGCTGTCGCTGTCGCTCATGTCGCTGCTGTCGGTGGTGGCAAGGTCCGAAACCACCGAGGCTTGGTCGATCCGGACACCGACAAAACACGGGTAGGTGTCGATTATGGTGGTGCTGGCGAGATCCGACACCTCCGTCGCTGCGTTGGTGGCAAAGCCGATCGATCGCGGGGGGGCCGGAACCTCGAGCATCCTGGCCGAGARCTCGGCGCTGAGATTCTGCATCTCCTCGTTCCTCGCTATTTCTTCCACTGCAACCCTCCAMCGCAGGTTCTTGTCATCTGCTTCGTCTCTGGTGAAGTTAGCAAAGCGCATGCATCTCTCGATGCTGGACGGCATGTTGTGGATCTTGGAAATAAACGAGAGATTCGCCGCGTGTACGATGCGCTTTTCGATCGGAACGGAAGAGGGTTTGATCACCCAACCGTCCTCGTATTCGTCCTCGTATTCGTCCTCGCAATCGGATTCGCAATCGGATTCGCATTCGTCCTCGTATTCGTCCTCGCATTCGTCCGGGGGCGTTGCTTTCGACGCTGCTCCCGTGGAGGGTGGGTGGTGTTTGGGATTCGAATGCGAATGCGAATGCGAATCGGATTGCGATTGCGAATCGGATTGCGATTGCGAATCCGATTGCGAATGCAAGTCCAAATCCAAATCCGGATTCGGCGTCGCGGCTTGCGTCGAGTCCGCCGTTGTCCTCGTCGCGGGCGACGTCGAAGGCGTCTCGGTTGCTTTTGCTGTCGGCGATTCCAAGCCGACGACGGCCGCGCCGATGGTTTGGGTTTCACTCTGCGTTTGCCTTTGCGTTTGCCTTTGGCTGTTGCACTCGTCCATCGCAGATCCTTTTTTTGTGGAGTAACCGTGCTCGTACTAGTGCTCGTASTTTGTACTCGTAGTTTGTACTCGAATGCTATTTTATAATAGCTACTGTACCTACCGTATGAAGTGGGAAAGGGGTGGAAACCCGCWACGAAACGAAGCAGCAATACTTTTTTTAGTTCTGTAAGTCGTGCACGGTACGTACGGTACTCGTACCTACTTCTACCAGACACCAATGACAGAGACGAGGCACGTTTGCACCTTGCTGCTCTGTTGCAACCGAATGTTGTGCTTGTTTTTTGTTTTTT